CGCTTCCCTTCCAGCTCCCTGCCTGTGACCCAGGAAAGCAGTCAAGGATGGCCCAAGGCTTTGGGACCCTGCACCTGTGTGGGAGACCTGGAAGAGGCTCCTGGCTTCGGATCGGCATAGTATCGGCCCGTTGCGCTCACTTGGGGAGTGAATCATCGGATGGAAGATCTTCCTCTCTGTCTCTCCTCTCTGTATATCTGCCTTTCCAATGAAAAAATAATAAAAATAAATCTTTATATTAAAAAAATCGACTACAATCCAAGTAAAAAATGTCATTTTCCACTTTTTTCGCTTTAAAAGCATACAGGAAACTATTAATATCATGACATAAAATTCTAAACTATTTTCATCTTTGTAAGTACACAAGCATGATCTAGAATTTAGTTATGTACACCAAGTAGCTCCCCTGGATATTTTATTTGACAATAAAAGCATATGAAATCTCGTAAATTCTCAAATTGATTTTTAATTTTTTTCTCAGATGTGTGCTGTATTTTCTTTGCAGCATCAAAAGTTCACAACTGAGAATAAAGATACAATTATGTGAAAAGCAAAAAAATGAAAATTTTTGCATCCTAGAATATTATATACAGGTTGAAGTAACTTTAGAATTTTTCAATGTCAAAACTTACACTTGTAAATACTATCAGTTGGGTATAAGCTACAATCATAGGCCACCCATGGAGGACTGCTTCAACTGGCTGTTGCTTTTCACAACGACTGAAACAAAACAGAACAGAACAAAACAAAAAGGGGGCATGGGAGTGAGGGGAGGGGTGGAGGGAAAGCTCTACAAAGCTCTTAGGAAAGATGGTAGGTCCAAGAGGGTGGATTTAGAGAAAGTAAGACTGAAACTAGCATTCTCCTGCTAACGGTGAACTCTGGCTCTTCAAAGGAGATAGTCATGCATTTAATCTAAAAATAAATGTCTTGCCACTAACTTCTCTTGCAAACAAGTGTAACTATTTACTCAGTTCTACAGAATGAGAACTCATCATGTTAAAATGGTCTCTATGTTAGGTTCAACAAAATCCAACAGAGAAAAAAAAGATTAGGCTTTGAAGATAGGCTTACTGAATCATACTGTCACATGAAAAACACATAAAAATGCAAGGATTTAACCTATTTCAGATAAAATTGAATTACCATTCCAGGCCTTGATGATTAGGGTAGAAATAAATGAGACTTAACATTGCAAAATTTTCTAATTAAACATTTCTATTATTCCCAATTATAATGCATTAAAATTCTGTATTTTTCTATCAAGAAAGCAAGGTACATAAAGTATCTGAAATTGCTCTTCCTATACTTTTGTACACACCAGTCTTCTAATAATCAATCAAATAATAAAGCCAGCATTAGAGTTACAGCAAGTAAATACCATCATGGTAGCATTCCTGTTATAACGAAGAGATGTCACAATACAGAGTGAGAGTAAATGTAACACATCAAAAAAGAATAAGGCTTATTAGTTCTTTCCAAAAAATTTATGATAAAAGCCCTAAGCAGCGCTCACATCAAGGAGTTCTATCTCTACCCAGCAAAGATAATGACAGTAGAAATTTCAAGGGGACACATTAAGCTGGAGTTTTTTTTATCTTATAGTGAAACATGGTATCTCAAACCCAGTTTTTCAGAAAGGGATAGAATCCATTTAAAGCGTAGTGGTGGCAGGAAGAGGAAAGGAAAAGAAAAAAATCTGTCTCTCAATACCTAAGCCAACGATCTTGACACTTATACGGCTATGTCTTGCCTTAAGCAAATTTAACATAAAAATATTCAAATTAATTGAACAGTTTAATATGCACTAAAATTTTCAAAAATGTATTCCTTATCATGCTAATACGCATTACATAAGCAAGGATTTTTTTTTAAAGCCACATATGTTAAAGAAATACCAACAGGCTGAGCATTTAGGTGTTAACAGATGAAGCTGAAACCCACAACACTAGAATCCCATAGGGATGCTGGCTCATGTCCCACTTGCTTCACTTGTAATCCATGTCCCTGCCACTGGCCTGGGAGAAGCAACAGAAGCTGACTCAAGTAACTAGGTCCCTGGCACCCACATGGAAGATCCCAAGGAAGCTCCCAGCTTCAGCCTGGTCCAGCTCTGCCCACTGTGGCTATCTGGGCAGCGAACCAGCAGGTGGAAGATTTCCTACCCAATCTCTGCCTCTAACTCTGACTTTCAATAAATAAGTAAATCTTTATAATGAAAAAAAAAAATACTATGTCTGTTTAAGCAATGATTAATTTAAAATGAACTTTTCAGGCTTACATCAGCCAGAATAGCAAATTTCTACAGAATTCCAATTGTGAATTTTAAGAAATGAATTAACAGGACTCAAGAAAAATCATCTTGTAAAACCAAGGAGTAACCAGACTAGAAGCCAGTACTAAATCCCTAAAAATGAACTCTTAAGGAAGGATTTTCATTCATTTAATTTAGGTGCACTACTGCCCTAGACCTAACAGTGGCAATAAAACAGGAATATAACATTATTAGTCCATGGATGTACACAAGAATGTACGGATCACACAAGAGCCTGCAAAACAAAGTATCCATCAGAACAGGAGCTTCAGTGTGCGTTTTCACAAACCATACTCAGAGTATCCTAGATACACAATAAAACAGAATGCTGCCGACATTACGCATTCTTGGCTCTTAATCTGGAATTAAAACCTAATATCTTCTTTCTATGAAAGCCTGCCTTGGTCTGGTACACATATCTGCACACACTTGCAAAGATAATGCGTCCTAAATGTCTTATTTGTCACCTGAGATCCAATCTGCAGCACATCTGACAGACACAGAAAACAATGGCCACTGACTAGGAGGATCCCTCCTTGTAAAATGTCTCATTTCCTGCTTTTCTAAATTGGAGATATGCTTGGACGCATACCCCTGATCTAATATTAGGAAGAAACATTTTTGTGTTCAATACAAGCATCTACAGCTCCCTCTGCTGACCAACTCCTATGTCTGCACGGGGAGTGCCGCCAGGACAGCCCAAGCCCCATGCCAAGCTACCCTTCCACCTACACAGAACACAGAAGCAGAACAGCTAACCAGCCTCGACATTCCTAGCAAGACCTGACAGCTCAAAGGCTTAAAAAAAGTGAAAGTTCCCTTCTCTCATACTTACAAGAAATTAACACGAAAAAAAATTCTAAAGCATTGCTTTTCAGATCAATAAGATATGACAGTTCACACTTGAGAGAAAACTTAAATAACCTGAGTAAGAGTAGCACTTGTACATATGTATATCTATTTTAAGACTTTATTCTCGCTTTTAGAGAGTGAATTTAAGTATTAATTTACATCCAGGAAGACACAGGTGGGAGACAGGATTCCCATGAAATATACACTGCATGTTTAAGTTCCCACTTGGCTAATTTAAGTATAAATAAAACTCACAGAAACTTTCTTTGCTTGCAGATGAATGTTAAAAATAAGAACCTGGGGGCCCGGCGCGGTGGCGCAAGTGGTTAAGGTCCTCGCCTTGCACGCCCGGGATCCCATATGGGCGCCGGTTCTATCCCGGCAGCTCCACTTCCCATCCAGCTCCCTGCCTGTGGCCCGGGAAAGCAGTCGAGGACGGCCCAAAGCCTTGGGACCCTGCACTTGCGTGGGAGACCCAGAAGAGGCTCCTGGCTTCAGATTGGCATAGCATCGGCCGTTGCGCTCACTTGGGGAGTGAGTCATCGGACGGAAGATCTTCCTCTCTGTCTCTCCTCTCTGTATATCTGCCTTTCCAATAAAAAAATAATAAAAATAAACCTTTTTTAAAAAAAAAAAAGCAGTTAACCAAGTACGGGCAGGTTCTTATGCAGCTATCAAGGGCAAGCAGCAGGACGAGCACTGTCATCCACGTGACACACGTGAGAGCCTGGAAGGGAAGCAGTGCACAGGAAGGGTAGGGCTATAGTCAAGAGGTATGACTGAATGCTGACAGATCAAGCAGGGAACTGACGAAACAAAGATCAGGGCTGGCACTGTGATGTTAATGTGTTGAAGCTACCCGCAATGCTGGCATCCCAAATGGGCACCAGTTCAAGTCCCAGCTGCTCCACTTCCAATCCAGCTACTGCACCTGGAAAAGCAGCAGAAGATGGACCAGGTGCTTGGGCCTCTGTACCCAAAGAAATTCCTGGTTACTGGCATCAGCCTCACAGGACTCCATCTGCTGCAGCCAGCTGGGGCGGGGTGGTGAAGCAGCAGATGCAAAGTCTCCTTCTCTGTATCTCCCACTTCTCCTTCCTTTCTCGCCATAACTGTCTTTCAAATAAAGAATTCTTTGAAAAGAAAGGAAGGAAGGAAGGTAGGTAGGTCGGTCAGTCGGTTTACATGACCCCAAGTCATTGCACAGATTGACTGAGAAGGGTCAAAACCGAAAAAGAACAAGTTTGTCAAAAAACCAGAATTCTAAAAAGAAAAGAAAAGAAAGGAAAAGAGAAGAAAAGAAATTTAAAAAAAAACCCATGATTCTGTTAAAATATTCTTATCATGAGGGTACCTAACAAAAGGCTACAGAGACACAAATTAGATTGGGTCTATGTGTGTTTGGGAAGAGCACACACCTTTGTTCCAAAATATATGCTGTAAGTGTATGCAGTAACAAGAAATGACTAAAAACAACTAGTACGATAATTTGTGGGCAGCTACAAACTGCTCCAGTTGAACTTTTTCCATGACCATCCTAGTTACTCAGGCTACAACACCGGAGTATTTCGATTCTTCTCTTTCATTCTCTTCCCCCGATGCCCCATTCCAAACTTCCAATGTCCTCAGAATGCGTCAGTGTCTTTTCTTAATGTCCTACATTTTTTGAAATCTTCAAAATGTAGCCAAATGTTCAGAAAGAAATTAATCATTTTGAAAGAGAATAAAGTTGCAAATACTGAAAATTAAGATTATCTTTACATGTTAATGTCACCCCGCAAAGCTGTTTACATGAATAGTTAAACGGACAGATCTCTGAACTACAGCAACTTACTCCGTGTGTCCCTGGAAAACATTCACAGAGTGAATGGACGGGTCCCTGAAGTCCCAGAGGCGGAAGGTTGTGTCACGGGAGGAGGTCACCACCAGCCGCTGTGTGGGGTGCGTGCAGCAGTGCGTTAACTCCTGGTCATGCCCTACAGCCAAACACAACAAAAACCATCGGATCACACACATGCAGATACAAAACTGGAGAGAAACGTTTTTAAAAACACACAAAAAATAAGTTTATATGGGTTCTGCTGGTAGCATCCAACAGAAAGGTAAATCTGAAGAAATCACTTAATACCCAGTAAATTCACGTGTTTTTCCTCAGAGCTGGATGAACTGCCAAGCATCCTTTTAAAAGAAGGTTGGATAAATCCATAGGCTAAGTTCATGAACAACATAAAACTTAATTCCAAAATATTCTATTACTGTAGGCCCTTAGTAAAATGCAATCTTTAACATACAGGAGGGCGCGGCGGCGTGGCCTAGCAGCTAAAGTCCTCGCCTTGAACACGCTGGGATCCCGTATGGGCGCAGGTTCTAATCCCGGCAGCTTTATTTCCCATCCAGCTCCCTGCCTGTGGCCTGGGAAAGCAGTCGAGGACGGCCCAAAGACTTGGGACCCTGCACCCACATGGGAGACCTGGAAGTGACATGGCTTCAGATTGGCTCAGCTTCAGCCGTTGCGGCCACATGGGGAGTGAATCATCGGACGGAAGATCTTCCTTTCTGTATATCTGACTTTGTAATGAAAATAAATAAATCTTTAAAAAAAAACATACAGGAAACATTAGCTTTGCAAAACATATAGTAGAGGGCCCAGCGCAACAGCCTAGTGGCCAAATCTTCACCTTCAGGTGCCAAGATCCCATGCGGACACTGGTTTCTGTCCGGGCTTCTCCATTCCCTTCTAGCTCCCTGCTTGTGGCTGTGGAAGAAGGCCCAAGGCGGGAGACCCAGAGGAAGATTCTGGCTCCTGGTTTTGGATCAGCTCAGTACCGGCCATTGCCACCACTTGGGGAGAGAACCAGAAAATGAAAGATCTTTCTCTCTGTTTTTCCTTCTCGCTATAAATCTGCTTTTCCAATGAAAAAATCTGGGCCCAACGTGGTAGCCTAGTGGCAAGCTCAAGTCCTTGTCTTGTATGCACTACGATTCAATATGGGTGCCAGTTTGTGTCCTGGATGCTCTACTTTCCATCCAGCTCCCTCTTGTGGCCTGGGAAAGCAGCCGAGGACGGCCCAAAGCCTTGGGACCCTGCACCCACAAGGGAAACTGTAGAAGGACATTTTGAATCTTTCGCCATACAAAACCAGAGGCAGGGGCAATCCCTCCTGAAGGCACCAGGAGCAGCTGGTGTGGAGATGAATGAAGAGGAAACCTCCTGGTTCACAGGTTTAGATAAAGGACCTGCTAGGTAAACAAGCTGGGTATTGGGAGACTGTCCCTTACTGTTGAAACAAGGCTCAAGCCCCTGCTCCCTGGATGCCTACACCAGCAGCCTTCCTTTAAAGGTCTGATGCTGTTAATAAACTGTGGCTATTGATCATCAGTCGGTAGTGCACACGTGTTATTATCCTGCTCATCTCTGGCTCCGTGCACCAAGTCCATCGCTGCAGGACAGCCAACAGGAAACCCGGAAGAAGCTCCTGGCACCTGGCTTCGGATCTGCCTAACACCAGACACTCGGGGTGTGGACCAGCAGATGTAGGATCTTTCTGTCTTTTCTGTCTCTCCTCCCTGTAAATCTGATTTTTCAATAAAAACAAATAAATCTTATTAAAAAATGAAAAACATATTTTTATTTAAAAAAAAAAACTATCGAATTCTGAGATATCTCCAAGACTCCACGCTCACATACATACCATATTTGGAGGCAGAACCTGTTAATATGATGAAATACATCTGCTGTGATTTACTATAGGGCAAAAGGAATTTTGCAGATATGATTATGATCCCTAACCAATAACTGAGTTAATCTAAACTGTCCCAGTGACAAGCAGTGGACCTAACTAAGTGAACCCTTGCAAAGAGTCCAGGCCTTCTCAGAAGTTGGAGAATCAGAATGGTGGAAGCACTCTCACCAGCCTGCAAGAAAGAAAACTGCCATGTAGTCAGTCAAAGGCCTTTCTCTGGAGGGACCAGCAGGACCCCAGCACAGCCAGTGGTACTCACATCAGTCCCTCTGCAAAAGCTGGAAGGACAGTGGAGGCTTCAGTCACACCAAAACAAGAAACGGGATCTTCAAAATACCAAATAAATATTCTATATTTCAAATATCTAGATATACATGTTATAACTTAGTTTTCTAAAGATAAATTTAGCTACCAATAGTTTTATTAGAAAGGACTCCAAGGGCCAGCGCTGTATTCTGATACAGTGGGCTAATCCCCACCCTGTGGGGGGCCAGTCCCGGCGGCTCCCCTTCCCATCCAGTTCTCAGATTATGGTCTGGAAAAGCAGTGGAGAATGGTCCAAGTCCTTGGGACCCTGCACCTGCGTGGCAGACCGGAAGAGGTTCTTGGCTCCCTGCTTCAAATCAGATCAGATCAGGTCAGCTTTGGCCATCGTGACCATTTGGGAAGTGAAACAGCAGCTACAAAATCTCTCTCCGTAAAACCTGCACTTCAGATAAAATTTTTTTTTAAAAGGACCTGATAAATTATAATCAAGGAGCCAACAGGTATAAAGTTAGTTCTAGCCAATAAGTAACTTGCAAGATCAGACATAAACATACAAATATCAATCAAAGTGCACAATCATAAAGTTGGAACATTTAAAGCATGGTACCTGTCAGAGAATGAACAAGTTCCGATGTCTCCACATCATATAGGTTTGCTGTTCTGTCCCAAGAAGCCGTCACTGCCTGCTTCCCTCCAACCAGCCAGTCAGCAGCTATGACCACGCCCTGGTGGCTTTTGAGAGATGTCAGTGGAACTCGAATGGTAGGGCAGTCACTGGACACATCTCCATCAATATCAGGTTCATCTTTATCAGAGCACTCTACTTCATCTTCTCCAGATATTTGTTGCTAATGTTTAAAAAAAAAAAAAGTCCTGGGAATCCCGAGATTGTTTTTCTGACATAACTATACAATAATTTATCTTTCGAAGACTACTCTTTCATAACTCCCAGCAGTATCAGTGCAGTATCTGGCACCAACTGGTGCTCAATGAATCTTTTCCAACTTTATGACTTGGCTAAAACTCAAGGCTAAATTTTAAAAAGAAATTAAGGCTACCAAGACAGCAAATGAACTGCAGTTCATTTCCATCAACCAAAAGTGACAAAACACTGAAAAAATATTTTCAACATTTTAAATTTTAAACATTTATTACTAGAATTCTAATACAAAAGGAATATAATTAGAAATCAATAATTTACCATAGTAAAAAAAAAAGACATTAATTCTCTGATGCCTGTTTAAGATAACTTAGAATTCTATTGCTACAATTTTTTACAGTATCAATGGAGTCTTCTGTCAAAAGCCAAGGATAATTAAAATTAACAGCACAGGCTTCAACTTTTCAAGAAAATTTTCTCATTCGTTCAATAAATAACAATCAAGTGCTTATAATGTGTCAGGTCCCAGATAACAGATGAGTGATAGGTGATGTCTGTCATAGCTGTCAAACTTTCAGGTGGCAAGAATGCTGGAGTTAAATATGACTGGCAAAATCCCTATCCAGACAGTATTATTTCTAGCAAAGAAGAAAAACCACATATACAAACACATCCACCAGAATGTGTACGATACATGGCACTATACATGATGGGTAAGTCATGGTCAACCATACATTATTATATGTCACATGCACATAAACATGCATGGGAATGTGATATGTACATACCATAATATATGTCAGATATATTTATTTACACAATAAACATATTATAAATATATAATATATATTTATATATTTAAATAAATATTATATATATTTACACAAAACCAGTTGGTAATAAACACCAAGAAAGAAGAAAACATAAGTTAGGCTACAGCTGTTTAATACTGAGGATCAGAACATGAGGAAACCCTGGAGAAAGGCACAGAACACAGAAGGGAAAAGCATCCCAAGCAAAGGAAGCAAGTACAAGGTCCCTGAACACTAGACAAGGCCTGCCAGCTGTGTACTGGGCACAGTGCAAGGGGCCACACAGCTGTCAGAGGTGAAATGTGAGGTATCATCTGGGAAATAGCTTGTATAAAATCTGGTAGAAGATGGGAAGGATTTCGATTTTACATCATGATGAAAAATCAACAGCTTTTGCCAAGGATATGATACAATTTGGTTTATGCTGAAAAAAATGAAAGGAGGTCTTTAATGATGTAATCAAGTTAAAATTACTCATGCCCTTATATAAGAAGCAATTAAGAGAGGAAAGATGAAATGAGTACCCAAGGTGAAGCTAACTACAAGCCAACGAAAGAGGCCTCAGAGAAACCAACCCTGCTCACACACAAGAATCTTGGATTTCCAGCCTCCAGGACTATAAGAATATAAATTTACTCATTCAGCTGCCCAGCCTGTGATATTTTATCACTGTAGCCCCAGGAAACAATAGGTAGATATCAACAGAGTACAGAAATACACACAAGTAAGGGATTGCAAGTTGAATAGTGGTGGTAATGGAGGTGGGAGAAAAGGTAGAATTAAAGCATCCTCCGTGTAACCGTCAGGACTTGCTGATAGGCCAACTTCCACACAGAATATGAGGAAAAGGAATTCACAAACCACTGGCTGGATGATGCTGACATTTCCTAAGATGAGCAACATAAGCAGAAGCGCATAGAGGAGACATCCAGAACACAATTTTGAATATATTAGCTTGTGACATTTATGAGATATCCAAGCAGGGCCTAAGAAACAAAGCAGATGGCTACAAAAGTCAAAAGGAGTCAAAGACATTATGGAAATCTGGGGGTCACAAGCAACATAAGGTCCTGAAAGTCTGAGCACTGAACAAGCAAGCAGGCAAGCAGGCAGACAGCCAGCCAGGAGAGCAGACCCACATATAGGACAGAGGCTAGGGTATCAGGAAGGTGGAGGCCTAAAGAGAAGAGAGGGTAGGTGTTAGAAGAGACTCACACAGGTGACTGGGTGGAGCATCAGAGACCCAGAAGGTTAGAGTGAAGGAGACCTAGACAATAATACCAAAGATAAAGGAAGAAAACAATAGAAATAAGGTGTATGCTAAAGAGAGAGCAATGGTAATCAACGTAATTCAGGCACCTAAAAAGTGGCTTGAAACTGGGTAGGCAACATGGATGGGATATTGAAGATCAAGACCCAGCAGAGAGGCAGGGACACAAAGCTGGCTGGAGAGAAGGTATCTTGGCAAGCAATAGGGCACCAGTGACACTTTTAAGATTGTCATCACGAGCAAGTCAATGAGGTGATGGATCTTAAGAAGCTGTGGGACAAGTGTGCAGTATCAGGAAGAACCCAAGAAGGAGTCAGTTTGATGATGCAAGACAGAAGAAACCATTTCAGGAGCAACATCTATGAGGACAGAAGATAGGACTTTCATGACAGGGGGCTAGCTTTGTCTTCATTAGCTGGTGCCATGAACATATGCCTCTGGGAAGGGGAAGGGAATGGAAGTTCTCTCCAACTGCTTCTACTGCAAACACTGCAGCTGGAAGGTTACAAAGAGTGAGGGTGGCAGAAGCAGGGCAAAGTGCAAAGACTGTGTTACCATACAGGGCCTGCTAGCCATCAGAAGAGGTCACCAACTCATAGGGACAGTCACCAGGGTGCTCACAGCTTAGGTATAGGAAAGGTACAGCAAGAAAGAGATTCAACCAGTTGAGGTTTCAACAGGGATAAATGATTTACAACCTAGTGACAAAGTAAAACATAAACAATGATTGTCCAGGGAACTATAGCCAGTTCAGATTATCCTAAATGGTACATAGAACTGTAGAATGCTTTATCATTAAGGGACCAACACATGAAGGAACATGGGAGCTGCCTTTAGAGGGAGACATCATAGGAAAATAAGGGAGAATTTGATGACTGCATGATAGTATCAGCAGTTCAGTCTGGGATGGAATAGGGAAGAAAGTAATGAAAAGTAAAGCTAGAAAAGTTGGCAAGGGGTATATGGCACAGCAGGTGCCTATGGCACCAGCATCCCATACAGGTGCTGGTTCAAGTCCTAGATGCTCCATTTCCCAGCCTACTCACCACTAATGCACCTGGAAAAGAACTGGAAGATGGCCCAAGTTGCTTGACCCCTGCACATACATGGGAGATCTGAAGAAGTTCCAGATTCCTGGGCTTCAGCATGGCCATTGCAGCCACTGGGGATTTAACCAGAACATGGAAGATTCTCTCTCTGTATATGTATGTAACAGACTTTCCAATAAATAAATAAACCTTGAAAAAACAAAAAGACTGGCAAAGACAGCTCAAATCAGGGTCCTCAAAGCAGGCTGTGCAAAGCAAAGAAAGGAAAGTGCTTTAGAATTTATCAGGAAGGCAAAAGGAATCATTAAGATGATGCATGTGCATCCTAGCAAATGACTCCTGATGGAGTATGAGAAAGCGACTACAGGGGCAACCAGACCTGATGCAGGGAACCTGGTTATGATGTGACTGCAGTGACCTTGATCTAGCTAAGAGAAGATGAGGAACAGTAAAGCAGTGAGAAAATCCTTTCTACAAAAAAAAATGAGCTTTGCTCCCAACACATGATACTCAAGGTATAAAGAACCTCTGACAGGTAGCTCATCTAGACAGAGAGGAACTCTACCTTCTGTCCAAGTACTGATGGAAAAGCAGAGTGGTGGTCCTGGGCCTGATTCTTAACCCTGGCAAATGCTTGGAGCTCAGAATGGACCAAGCTTCTCAGACCCCAGGGCTGCTCCTGAAGAATCCTATTCCCTGAGACCTGTGCTGCTCTCTGGGCAGGCAGGAAGGGCACAATCCCAGAGTTCCATGGTCTGGAATCCTGTGAACAGGTACTTGAGTGGCTAGCCAGAATTAGAGCTGTAAGGGTGCAAGTTCTGATATCTGACACTACGTCTTGTGTCCAACATTCTAGCTGATGACCCCAAGAGCACCCTGTGGGGTGTTCAATGGAGACCTCTGGTTTGGCGGTGCAGAAATGGTATTACAACGTCAGAGGTAAGTAGCTGACCATAATCTAAGATTTCATGGATGAAAGACTAAATGTGGGAGGTGCAAGATAAAAGGATGTGTCTAAGACAATTCCAAGGTTTCTCAGTTTTATTAATTGTTGTACTCCTAACACAGCAGTAAACTCAATAGGCTCTTCATTAAATGTTACTGATAGAAATAAAACAACTAGGTATAAAAACAGAGCTACTTCCTCACAAAGGAAACATCTAAGGGGTTTAGGATTAAGACTGTGTGCTCAGGCCTGGCGTGGTAGCCTAGTGGCTTAAGTCCTCGCCTTGCATGTGCCAGGATCCCATATGGGCACTGGTTCTAATCCTGGCAGCCCTGCTTCCGATCTAGCTCCCTGCTTGTGGCCTGGGAAAGCAGTCAGAGACAGCCCAAAGCCTTGGAACCCTGTACCCGCATGGGAGACCCAGATGAAGATCCTGGGTCCTGGTTTCAGATTGGCTCAGTTCTGGCCATTGCAGCTACTTTGGGAAGTGATTCATCAGACAGATGAGCTTCTTCTCTATTTCTCCTCCTCTCTGTATATCTGACTTTCCAAAAAATAATACTTATTAACTTAATAATAAGACGGTGTGCTTGATCTGGAGAGGGAATGTGTGTTTGTGAGGGTAGTGGGAAGAGGAAAATCTGCCGAGGGCATGGAAGGGAACCCTGGAGCTCCTGAATCTGGATCTATGTTCCAAAACGTGAAACAAACTCAGGACTTTACTCAGGTATTAAAGGAATTTCACAGTGGAAACTGTGGTAAGTCCTATACTAAAAAATATGTATAAACTCTGGCCTTAATTCTACAAATGCAGGAGTTAAAAATAAGTTATTTGTATGTATTTTTACCAGCTTAAAGATAATCCACTTAATTTTAATTGTTTTTACTGACAACATTTAATAGATCATACAAGAATTGTCATTTTAATACTATGAACATTCTGCTGCGTACTAGCAGTCTGCCCAAAGAATTACTGCACCAATGTCCTACCTCACATAGCAATAGCCACTAGAAGCCACTTTGCTTCCAATCCTCTTTTAAATGGAAAAATTAACACTACTACTTAAATAAATGACTCAATATCACACAGTATGACAGTTATTTAGTTGGTAATCTAAATCCATTTCCATCATATCGCCCAAATGCTTCTCTAGCAAAACATTGTGGATGTCAAATAAAACTCACTCATACATCTAAGAAAGAAAACATCTGCTGGAAAGCTTACTAATTCAAGACTTCAGTGGATTCAAGTTTATTTCAAAGCCTAGGATTGGAACTGCTAAGCAACTCTGAGTCAAGACAGGCCAAACAAAACTTATAAAATGCATCTCTCTCTAACTAAGATGAATTATTCGTATTCAGCAATAACTAAAGATGTATGGCATCTATTCCTTGGCAGAGCAAGTCATAGCAAATGATTTTTATTGTTTTTTGATACAATTTAGTGCTCATTGTACCTATATTAGGGGCCCCAGATTACAAGAATTAACCTACAACAAAGTCACGGCAAATAACACAGGCTCACTGTTAATTCAGGATGAGCTCCCTAACCCCGCAACATGACCCCCAAAATCCAGTGGTAATAATGAAAAGTTCCTATGGCCAATGCTAGAAAAGTAATAAAGAAGAAAATACAGTGAACTTAATATTTCAGTCAACTATTCAGTGTTTTTAACTACAGCACAATATTTTTCCACCTCCAAAAACTGTTTTGGGCCGGTGCGATGGTATAGCGGGCCTCTGCTTGTAGCACTGGCATCCCATCAGGACACCAGTTTACATTCCAGTTGTTCCATCTTTCACCCAGTTCCCTGCACGTGGCCTGGGAAAGCAGCAAAGGATGGTCTAAAGTCTTGGGACCTTGCATTCATGAGGGAGACCCGGAAAAGACTGCTGGTTTCAGATCAGCTCAGCTCCGGCCATTGTAACCATGAGTGGAATAAATCAGCAGATGGAAGATCTTTCTCTATGTCTCTTCTCCTTTCTGTAAATCTGCATTTCCAACAAAACTAAATAAATCTTTTTTAAAAAATTATAATATACCCACATAAAAATGATGCCATAACTGTCAAATAAAAATCTCCAAGAGGTAAATGTCTAATATTAAATAATAAAGCATTATGAAACAAAGATAAAACTTAAAAGAATGAATGATGTTGAATATTTATGGAAAGGAAGATTCTTAATATTTACAGAAAGGAAAGGAAGATGCTTAATATTCATGCAAAGGAAGGCTAAAGCTAAAATATACATATATAAATTAGATCTTATCTTAGCCAGCTTAGGCTGGCATAATAAAATACCACAGACCAAGTAGCTTAAATAACAGAAATTTATTCTTTCAGGGTCTTTAAAGACAGACTAGAAGTCCATGATGAAGGTCTTTACCAATTTAGTTTCTGGTAAGTATGCTTCCTGGCTGGTTCTCACGTGACAGGGACAGAAAGCGCAAACACATCCAGACATGTCTTCTTCTATGCACTCTAATCCAATGGGATCAAGGTCTCATCTTTCTGATTTTTGAATCAAATCTTTTTTTATTTTAATTGTAAATTTGGGGGGGGGGGGATTCCTTAGTCTTCCAAAATCATGCCTTTGCATAGCAAAATACAGGAGTATTCAGACAGTTCATGGAAAATAAATAACAAAAAACTATACATGGATTTCAAAATTTCATACCAAAATAAATGTTATCTTTTAATCTTACTTTACCACAAACTTTTTGAAGCATCCTCATACATTCCATCCCAAAAGTCACAAAAGTCTTAAATCATTCCAACACCAACGCCAGTCGATAGAATCCAAAGTCTCAACAAAATATCACTAAATCCAGTGTGTGTAATCATCCCAGATGTAAAACTCATTCTAGGCCAAAAAAAATTGCCTCTTGGCACTACAGTGACCATATAAACAACTTATATTTTTCCAAACTATGATTGGACAGGCAATAACATAGACAATTTCCACTCAAGCAGCAAAAAAAAAAAAAAAAGAGAGAGAGAGAATAGATAACAGCTATCAAGCCAACTCAAAACCTTGATGATGCAAATTAACCTTTTGTTATCAAAGTTTGAGAATAATTCTCTTTGGCCCAAATACTCTGCCCACCAGATCCTAATACCTGGCTGGACACTACCATCCCTAAGGTTCTGGGCTAAGACACTCTGACTCCTAGCAATCAAACAAGCCTCATCCTTCTACTGATGGAGGAGCTTGGGTAACTCCTTTGTTGGGACACATGCCCTACAGGTGAGTGCAAGAACCAAGACAGGGAGCAGCCCACATCAGACCAAAATATAGTACCCACCAGTATAAGTTTGGCACAGACCAGGGGCAGGGCAGGCCAGGTCAGTCAATATCACCAATTGGCAAATCTGAGTTGAGCTAAGTAACCAAGTTCACTGCTTGCAATTTCTACCTCTTCTAAAACAGAACAGAGTTCATCTATATCCCACATTTTTTGGTATTGTTTACATCAACACCTCACTTTCAATACCTAAATCCATCTTAGTCAATTTAGGTTGTCATAATAAACTACCAATAGACTGAGCTACTGAAAAACACCAGAAATGTATTTTCTCCCAGTGCAGATCAGACACCCAAGACCAAAGTTCCTAACAACTGAGCTTCTCATGAGCTCTTTTCTGGCCTAGAACTGGCCTCCCTCTCATTTTGTCGTCACGTGGCTAGTGGAGAGAGAACAGGAACTGAGGGGATGAGAGAGTAGGAGAGGAAGGACAAGTTCTCTGGTAGCTTTTTTTAATAAACAATCAGTCTGTTATGGATGATTGATTAATGAAATCTTATTACACAAGGTACAGATAAGTATGAAACAGCTCTCTGCTATCTTTGATTAGGACACTAATTCCACTGGATCAGGGACATATGCTCACGACCTTGTTTAACCCTAACTGCTTCCTTCCAGGCCCTATCTCCAAATACAGAAACACTGGGAATTAATGTTTTAAAATACGAATTGATGACAGAATACAAGCAATTCAGTCTTTAGCAGAAATAAATTTATTCTAAAATTTGCAAATATCCAGAACCCTGCAAGCTTAGCCCATGTTGAGTTTCCAGGGTAATTAAATGTGCTTACACTAGGGTCGGCAATAGGCTGAGGTGTTGGCAGCTGTACCACATATCTCCAAATATGAGCAGTCTGATCTCCAGAAGCTGAAGAGAGAAATCAGAGGAAAATTACCCAACGTGCATACTATGCATACAACGCATTCCTTGCTATGGTCTGGCTAAGCTGCATCAATAAGACTTTGTAAATCTAATGGTCACTTAGTAAAACATGCTGTATTAAAATAGCTATTTTTTTTAAAACTGCCTGATGCTAAAGAGAATAGAGTAAATGTACAAAATTAAGATATTTATGTGTAATAATACTTCCCCTTTCATTTCAGGCTAAAAAATTATGCAGGTCCAGAGAAAATTTACAAACAGCAAGTTTTATTTTTTACCTACCTAAACTAAATAAATGAAAATTCTTTCACACTATAACTTAAAATTACAATAGATTTTGCTGTGTTTCAGGACAGCAAATTCATTTCATCCATTTAACATGGATATAGCTTTACAATTTTACCAGCATCTATTAAGTGGGCCCTTTCTGTGCTGCCTTCTTGGTTCTCTCTGTTCACCAATCAAAGCTGATAACAAAGTGTCTTAACTAAGAAACGGAAAGACAAAGGGAAGCATGACGCATGACGGGGCCTCAGATCTAACACAATGGTCATGTCTTACCCCTCACAGCTTCCCTAAAGAAGTCACTAGTTGTTCATGTTGGTACACTTCTTAAGATAGATAGTTTATTGCTCTGACTTAATCAATTTCTCTCCAAATAAACATAAGATCCAGCAACTAGTCTCTCTCTTCTCTTTCTTGTATTCCCAGTTATAAAGTTTCTCTTAGTTACATTTTTAAAATGCTTCATGGTTTCTGCCCTCCTTTGGTTTGAATATGGACAAATTCAACTTCAACTGCCACTGCTGAATTAGAAAATAATTCATCAATTTAATAAGATTTACATGTTTTGCCTACTTTAATCCTCAAATATTTACTTAAGCATAAATTAACTGGTAATGTTCTAGGCCTGTTAAAATAACTCTCAGATTATCCTTCCCCCATACTGCTCTCATATATAAAAATTCTCTGACCAAAAATTCTCTGTATATCATACATTGAAAGTACTTTTGATTGAGCTCCTTGCTTAAACAATTCCATCTGCACAAAATACTGAAGTATCAATTTTCTTCCCTTATCCTAACAAGCTGGCCCACACGCCCAGTCCAAGCAGCCATCCACTTTAATAAAGTTTACTAGTACAGAGCTACATTCTTCATTTCCCACTCTCCACTTCCCTACCACAGTGTAACACCAGAACAGTGTGGTGACAGAAACGATATGGCCCACAAAGATGAAACTACTAATTATCTAATCCTTTACAGAAACAGTTTGCGGAGCTTTGGTCTACTGAAAGTCTACATCTCCCTTTCAAGAACATCACCAACTTTGCCAAACTACCACAGAACTAGCCACAGCAGTATGGCAATTTTATAGACCAAATCCTTAGTACAATGAGGCTACCTTTTAGAAGCAACAAAGAAGGTCTGTTTGTAAAACTACAAGATAAAATTGTGTCATAAGCTATTATTGCTTAGACAAGTTATTTGGAGAGGCATAAAAATGCTAACTTTAATAAACTGTTTTATTTCAATATTATTTTTTATTCATTTCAGATGCAGGTAATCAAAGAACTGTATTATAATCCACTGTGAACCATCACAGGCAATAACAAAATGTGTAACAATTTCAACAACATACATTTTAATTTCATCATAATTCAACTTAATCTAACTACCAATTCACTGTTGGTTTTAAAAAATAGTACTATCTATTCATTTCTCACTTAACTCATAAAATGCCTAAAAAAGGTTACCTAACTTTCCTAAGAGCCACAGATAATTCTGATGCTACTGGTAAAGACGTATTTAGAGTTGTTTTAAGACTACCAATAATTCTGTTCAGTAAAGAAAAAAGTCAACATACCAGTGAGAGCCAACTGCTCTGAGGGATGAAATTTTATAGAATTTACTGCAAAATAAAAATATTACAAAGACAGGTTTAAAGTAACAAAAACATGTTATTAATATTTATTAGTTATCACATACATTACAAAGTCAAAAATGAAAAGAACTATGATAGCTCAATATTAGATCCTCCCACTCAATTAAACTATGGATAAAGGCTTAAGTTAGAAGTACAATAAAAATAACTGAAGTATAAATTAACACATTGTTAAATTATAAGACAAACAAAAAATATATTAATCATCTTTCTATAATAATTTAAAGTTAAAGATAAATCAGGATTAAAAAAGCAAGTATAAAAAAAAAAGAAAACATAACTGTGACAACAAGCAAGGACAGGTTATGGTGTGAACGTTGCTACCCAACTGGTCACAAGCCCATCCACTCTGCCTTCCCAGAAATTTCAATCTTTCCTGTGTCCAGTAGAAACCCCAGCCCAGAAGATGAACTGGAACTGGGCTGGTCAAGTTATTTTTACTTTCCCATTTCATTACCCAGATGTGTCAATGAGAGAAAATGAGGAATGTAGGAAAGGTTATCTAAGTTCTCATACTCCTTTTTCATTTTTAAACATTTGTTTATTTGAAGGGTGGAGATACAGACAGAGGGAGAGACAAAGAGATCTTCCATTCACTGGTACACTTCCCAAATGACAACAACAGCCAGGTACCAGCTAGGTCGAAGTCAGAAGCCAGCAACGTCATCTGCGTCTCCAACATGGGTGTCAGGGGCCCAAGCACGTGGGCCACCTTCCACAGCTTTCCCAAGCACACTGACTTTCAGAAGCACAGTAGCTGGGTCTCAAACTAGCATGCTGATGTTGGTCGTGGCACAGCAAGATACAGCTTAAGCATGACAAACTCAACACTCATTCTTGTCTAGCATTTCATCCTCCCACATTTTCCTGCTTTTCCTGCATTTGGGGTAGCATAATGTGTGCTCGACATGACAGTAAGCATGAGCACATAAACAGCCACACACAGCTTGGCAGGATGGTCCACATACTAACCTGATCATGAGTCCACCCTACCCACTTATGATTCAAACAGGACTGTCAGTCAGTCTGACACAGGAGGTGAGTTCAAGTCACTCTAGGAAATTCCAAACCTCCTTCCATACCTTTAAAAGAAAATGTATGCTCCCTATAGAGAACATACAGAAAATTTTACCCACCTAAAGTAAGCTCTCTTTTAATGAAATTTTGTTAGCTACTTAGTATTTTTCTGCAGAACTAAATGAAAAATGTTAGATGTTCTTTTATTAGTAACATCAAAACACAAATTAGGAAAAAACTGGTGAAATTATATATACCTGTTAAGCAATAAGTAATGATAAAAATGAACTACTATTACCACTAAAAGACAATATGATTGCCTCAGTTTCATTTAAAATTTTGGCAAGAATAAATAAGACAACAAGAGGACCAGGAAGAGCAAAACTGCAAATCTCACGATTTGTATTTTCTCAGAGGACAGCAGTGACAATCTGTTGGTATTCTATTGGATATTTTATTCAGAGGATCCCAGAGAGAAAGGGAAAGAAAAAAGGATACACTGTCAAGACTATCTTTTTAGTGAGTTTCATTGACTACAGAAATTTCAGTCACTTTAACTATTCCCTTGGTTTCCATAAATTTAGTTAGCAATCGAAACATCTCTCACCATAAAAATGCAAATGAAGTTCTGAGTACATAAGGCGGGGATAAAAACAATATAAAAATGGTGCTGAAAAAAGGAGCATCTCTATTCTTTCTTGAAACTTCCGTAAATGCAGAATAAATACGAAATAAAATACTCACAAACCTACAACAGACATTGAGCAAAGTAACATCAACTAAATACTTGAAGCTAGAAAACTAGATCAGTAATGGTAAACAGTTAAGAGAACATGGAAAGGTGTACAATCAACCAGAGTGAAGAAAGGAAATCTGACCAAAAAAAAGAGCAAGACTCAAAAATATGAAGAAACTTCTTGCTAAGATCAAACTGCTTGTATTAGGACTCATTCAACTCTTCTACTGGATCAATTATAGAAATTGCATGTTACAGGGGCAACTCCCCCCTTGAAATCCTCTCCTGCTTGCTGAGGCAGGAGGCTTCACACTTCAGTAAAATCTTGCTTTGCTCATTGTCCATATTTGCACGGAAATTCTTCTTTGAAGTGAGACAAGAATCAAAATGACCATCATATCCAGTCACACTACTAAGGTCAGCAAGGGACCATGAAGCAACACTGGTTAAGCTCAAAACTCCCCAGCTTGCCTATCCCAGCACACGGAGCTCAAGCAGGAAGCCAAGTACACAGTTTGGAACTTGCCATATGCTCCACAGACAAAAAGGCATTAACAGGAGCTTAGTCACCAAGGGATAGCCAGGAGCTGAGGAGCTCACATCCCTCAGAAAACACAGCAATGAAGTGAGCCAGGCACAGTTCTGTGGGCAGGAAGAGAAAGGGAACAGAAACCATACAAAGAGCAGCTTCCAAGAGCCAAAAAGCTGAAAACACTACAAGACATACTGAAAGTTCACAGTCTGTGACAAAAATCCTTAAAAGACAACACCCTTGGTATTAGAATGCTAATTAATGCTGGAACATCCGTATGGATTGTCAGACAAGATCATGCAGCAACTCAAATTCTCAGTGCACTGGGCACAGTCAGAGCCTAATAAGTACAAAGAAACATTCTGGAAACTGCTCCAAAGCACCTGCTGATACTGTGTACTCTAAGCAACTCCATTTTAACACGTACAGCAAAAATAGATGGTTAGGGGGAGGGTGTGAATGCATGTGCATGTGTTTCAAGAAACTCAAATAAGAGCTGCAAACTTAATTATTCATAATAGATAAAACTGTGAATACCCAAATAAACTATAGAAATTAATACACTATACAACAATGCAAAATATAAATAAAAATCCCATAATCAACATCTCAACCCTAGAGGTCTCCATTATTATCAGCATAGCATACAGCATAGCATGTCAATCCTCTGCGTGTGATACCCACACAGTTTGAGTCCCAGCTGCTCTACGTCATATCCAGTTCCTTGCTTACAGCCTGGGAAAGTAATAGAGGACAGCATAAGTGCTTGGGCCTCTGTACCTACGTGGGAGACTCAGAAGAAGCTCCTGGCTCCCAACATCAGATCAGCTCAGCTCTGGATGCTACTGAGTTGGGGGGTGACCAGTGAATGGAAGATGTCTGTCTTTCCTTCTCTCTTTGTAACTCTGCCTTTCAAATAATATAAATCAATTTTTAAAGCTCTTTTCAGTATGCAGGTCATACTGCATAAAGAGTTCACAAAGACAAAAATAGGTGCTCCAGAATGTAGGAGTGAGGTATGGCCTGAACACAGAATCCTGGGTGTAGACAACAGCTGGAGTCCCAGGAAGCACCCATGCTGGCTGCCCCGACTTTCACCCCACCATCCCAAGAATATTTAGAGGGATAAGGGAAGATTTTGTAGAATATGCTAAAAAGTGAACCATCAGAGAACAAGGACTCACATAAGACACTAAAGCCATGACAGCACAATTTTTTTAATCAAAAGGCTGAAGAATAAATTTCAGAAAAATTATAAAAGACAAAAAAGTGGGATACAAAAGAGAAAAAATAACATCAAAAGAACAATCTACAAGGTCTAGTATCTCATTAACAGGAAACACATGACTATTTCTCAGTACCTAACTTTTCCAGACTGAAAAATCCTACTGAATGTGCAGCAATTTTTTTTAAGTCCATAAGCAAATTTTTTAAAAAGTGGGGGTGAGGAATAGAAAAATCTGCTCTCTTATACAGGACAAAAATTCAAAATAGCATTAAATTTAGTATTAACCTGACACACTGCAAAAATAAAATAGAATACCTTCATGTTTATGAAAGAAAATTATTGCCTGTGTAGAAAAACATACTTAGTTTAAATAAAGTATAAAAATTAAACTTATTTTTCAGACATTTGGAATCTCTCAAATTTTTGTTACCACCAAAATATCTCGTTAAGGAAGCTACTAACAGATGCGCTTCCACGAAGAAAGATGATGATATGACATCCAAAAACAGAAGCTGCACTGGGGAAGAGGCTGAGAGAAATCACAGAATTATGCTTAGGGGAAATCCCAAGGCCAACTGGTTTGAAGCACTCAATTTCAAACCAGTGCAGACAACAAAGAGCTCCAGAAAGAGAACAAGAAGAGCAGAAGCAACAAAGAATACCACTGAGCTCCATCAACTGGGGACCCTGGGATGATATCAAGTGGGCATCTGTCCCCGGGTATTATGCAATAGAGCTGCTCCTGGCCCTCTCTCCCCGCTTCCTTCCACCAGACACAAGGAAAAAGGAGACTGGAAACAACTGCCTCATTCACTTTCCCCCGATTCCTCGACTCTCCTGACCTTAATCAGTGGCCCAAATGGGCGTGCATCCTTCTCAACTACGTCAAAATTACATCCATCAAAATTAAATAAATTTGTATTTTAAAAAGATCTGGCAATTTAAAGATAAATTAAGGAACACATGCAAAAATAAACAACAGGAAAAAAAATAAGACAACCCTGGCCCCAAGGAAAACAAAATCAAGAATGAAGTTCAAGCTGAATATATAGGTAAGTGGTGTTAATACAATCACAATGACTAAAAATTACAACATAACTGAAATGATAAGGATTATAGGGAGGGGCCAGCACCATGGTGCAGCGGGTTACACAACCAACTACAATAACAGCATCCCATATGAATGCTGACTCAAGTATTAGTTGCTTCAATTCCAATTCAGCTCCCTGCTAATGTGACTGGGAAAGCCAAGGGAGATGGCTCATGTATATGCACACTGGGAGAACTGAAGAAGCTCCTGGCTCCAGGCTCTTGGCTTTAACTTAGTCTAGTCTTGGAGGTTGTGCCCATTGCAAGAAGAAAATGGTATGCGGAAGATCTCTATCTCATCCTTTCTCTTATTTCAAATTAGTAATCTTAAAAAAAAAGTATGAAAGTGTTTATAAAATTAATCTTAATTTCTCTTAATAAGAGCCATTGTATTTGTAACTATAAAATTAAGTGATAGGGCACAACACAGTGGCCTAATGGCTAAAGTCCTCGCCTTGAAGGCACTGGGATCCCATACAGACACCAGTTCTAATTGTGGCAGCTCCACTTCCCATGCAGCTCCCTGCTTGTGGCCTGGGAAACCAATTGAGGAAGGCCCAAAGCCTTGGGACTCTGCACTCGTGTGGAAGACCTGGAGGATGTTCCTGGCTCCTGGCTTCAGATTGGCTCAGCACCGACCATTGTGGTAACTTGGGGAGTGAATCAACAGATGGAAGATCTTCCTCTCTGTCTTTCCTCCTATCTGTATATCTGACTTTGCAATACAAAAAATAAATAAATCTTTAAAAAGAAAAAAAATCTGTCTCTCCTTTCCAATAAAAATTGATAAATCTTTAAAAAAAAACATGCAGTTTTTGAAAGAAAAATTAAGTGATACAACTAACTGTTATAAAGAAAAACAGCAAGTGGAAAATCAAAATGGTGGAATAGGGTAAAGGACACATTTAAATAGATGGAGAAACATTAACCAGTATAAAGCAGAGAGGACAAATTCCAGAAATAGGAGAGGACAGAACAACAGCATGGGGTACCTAGAGACTGACAGACACAGGAAAGCAGCAGACACAACGGTGTGGTGTCACAGTGACTAATACACCAGCAGAATTCAGCAAATGGTGAACTGAACTCCACCAGCAGCCAGAAATCCACCAGCAACCAGGTGGGAAGAGACTCACTGGGAGATGAACTCAAAGAACTGCCTGTCCTGCTGGTCTGTTTGATTTGACCAGGAGCAGAGAAAGAGCAGCAGATCCCAGACGGGCAGTGCGAAAACTGCGTGGATTTCACAGCCCAGCATTCGCCCCTAGAACCGACTCCGGTGCCATTTTGTTTAAGGAAGCAAAGGAAAGGACTGAATACACACTGAGCTGGAAGTGAACTCATTTCTGACCCAGTGAGCTGCAACACGTGGCATCCTACAGGTTCCACCCAAGACAGGTCCAGGCAGTCCTCAGACCTGAGGGCCAGCAGATCAAGAACTCTAGTAGTGGCACATCAGGCGCCATTTTGTACACTGTGGCAAAAGCTTTAGGACTAGTGACAACAGTGAACTGTGCATGTGCTCAGCTCGTGAGAACTCACTAAGCTTACTGGATTGCACTGGTCCTGCAGGAAAATAATACTGACTGTGGCATCGTATGGGTCAAAACAAGTCCGTGTGGCCCTCAGACCTAACAGCCAACAGGTTCCGGCAACCCAGCTATACAGGACTCCTGATGTCTCCCTAATCCTGGGACCTACTCCAACCAGAAGTGGGAGAGAGGTTGTACAGACAACAGTGCAGCTTCAGCACAGTGTCACAGGAGGTGGAGAGTGGTGAGCCAGGAGCTGGGGCTAAAGAGACCATGCTGGAAATCTAACAAAAGAACCCAAACCTGGAACTTGCTGGAGGGAGTGGCACAATTGGCTGCAAATTAAGAGCTGCACATCAACTACAATAAGTAAAATCGCATTGTAGACCTGTGGGTGACAGAGCTTAGAAACCTGCCCCAAGGAGAAGACTCTGATAATCAGAAGTAAAATGACCAAGAGCAAAAGAAGAGACAAAGGCAAAATGAATATTACTAAAGCCTCCCCTGCAAAGGAGCAAAACCCTATGCCAACCTCAGAGTTAACTGAGGAAGGCATCGACAAATTGGAAATACAGAATTCAAAACACTTGCTATAAAACTTCTTAACAATGAGAAGCACATAAAGAAGGAGTTCAAGGAATTTAAGGAATATGTCACACTGGAACTGAATCAAATGAAAGCTGATATATCAGAAATGAACAATACAGTGCAGCAAATTAAAAGTACAGTGGAGAGTCTCCAAAATAGAATGAAGCAAGCAGAAAAAAGAATCTCAGAATTGGAAGATATTTCCTGTCACCAGGGGGAAGCAAAGAAAAAGCTGGAAGCAGAGCTGGATCAGGCCAAAAAATATTCAAGAATTGAAAGACACTATTAACAGGCCTAATATAAGAGTGATGGGAGTCCCAGAAGGTGCAGAAAGAGAAACTGGGATCAAAGGTGTAGTCAATGAAATAATAAAGGAAAATTTCCCTAATCTAGAGAAAGAATTGTGAAACAACATCCAGGAGGGGCACAGAACTCCCAACAGGCTTGATCAAAAGCGATCTTCACCAAGACACATGATCATCAAACTCTCTTCAATCAAACATAAGGAAAAGATCCTTAAATATGCACATGAAAAAAAAATATCAAGTGACATATAAAGGAATGCCAATTCGATTCACAGGAGATCTCTCACAGGAAACTCTACAGGCAAGAAGAGAATGGAGTGACATATTCCAGATTCTAAAAGCAAAAAAACTGTCGACCTAGGATAAAATATCCAGCAAAGCTTTCTTTTGTCTTTGAAAATGAAATAAAATTCTTCCACAGTAAAGAAAAGCTAAAAGAATTTGCCTCTTCCAGACCTGCTCTACAAAGGATGCTCTCTTGACAGAAAAGAGGAATAGCATCAAACAAAACCAAAGGCAAATGTGAAGAGCATCTCAGTAAAATGACAACAGAAGACTAAATCAATGAACAGCACATTGCTAAAATGACAGAACTAAATTACCATCCAAATTAACCCTGAATGTAAATGGCTTAAACCCATCAATCAAACGTCATTGATTAGTAGACTGGATTAAAAAACAAAACCTTTCTATTTGTTGCCTACAGGAGACACATTTCACCAACAAAAATCAGCAGACACTATATTTCATGGATTTTGATTTTTTTTTTTGTTTCACCTCTTCAAAACACCTTTTTCCCATTAAATTCTTCAATGACTCATAGATCATAGAGTAGCATCATTTTCTTCAAGAAGGTTCTTGATTTTCTTTTTCATTTCTTCAGTGACACATTAGTCATTTAGTAGCATGTTATTTAATTTCATGGTGTTATTAATTTTTCTTCCTGTTATTGATTTTGTTTTGTGGCTTTTAAGGGGATGTATAGCAACTGTATTGGAAAATATCATATCTACCAGCATGTTATTTAATTTCATGGTGTTGTAAATTTCTATTTTTCTTCCTATTGTTGATTTTGTATCGTGGCTTTTCATATAAGGGGATGTACAGTAACTGTGAAATGGAGACTAACATATGCAAATGCAGTATGTATCTTTACTTTCAGACTAAAGCTGGACTCCAATGTAACTGTTTAGTAAATGACAACAGGATACTGGACTCTCTGCCATTGTCCATGTCCACAATAATGGACATTTGACTGTATATGAAGAACTGTACTGTAGTAATGATATAGGGGAACTTGGTTGGGGGGGTAGTTGGGGAAGGGATAAGGGAAATCCCAGGGGCCTTTGGAACTGTACCATAAAATGATGATGATGATGATGATAATAATAAATAAAAGATTTTTAAAAAAGAAAAATGGCCAAGAAAAAAACAGTTCTTAAGATAGTTGTCTCTGGGTGTAAACATAGGAGTGAAGAGGGAGGATGCAGGAAACTGCCAATGACCTTTTTCTGTACAACATATTAACAATTCTAAATATATTAGGTTACATATATCTAAATATTTTTTAATATTTCTACTTACTTAAGGTTATTTATTATTTCTTAGCAGTATTTATTTCATTAAAGATTATTTAATTACTTGAAAGAAAGAGCAACAGTGAGACAGAAATAGAAAGATATTCCATCTGTCAATTTACTCCCAAATGGCTACAAAGGAAAGGCGTGGGACAGTCTGAAGCAAGGAACCAGGACCTCCAACCAGGTCTGCCAGGGTTCAAGAACCTGAGCCAGCTCCCACTACTTTTCCAGACACTTTAGCAGCAAGTTGAATTACAGCAGTGGCCAACACTACGGGCTGCTGAAGTCACAGCAGTGATTCAACCTACTGTGGCAACACTGGTCCCCTTTTTTTTAATATTTTTGAGTAAATCTGAGGTGAGAAAATTTTTTAAAAATCGGATAATATCACACTCTTAGTGAAATTCCATGAACTTTAAGAACCTATTTGTATATTCCACACATAATGTTGAAAAACTACAATGTAACACAACAGCATCCCACGCAGTCTGTGGAATACAAATTAGAGAGGAAGACATACAAGGCTATTATTGAGAGAAGAAATTTAATGAGAAAGGTATGAGCTTGATTATACACTAACAGGGGAAAAAAATCTATGGCAAGAAAAAATCTTAAGTCACAGGTGACAACAGGAACAGCTGTAAGAGACAGAGTCCTGGAAAGGGACAAGACAGGTGAACACAGCTCACCAAGAGTCCTAGACTTCAGCAGGACCACCAAGCTGTGCAGGCAGGTGCTCAGTCGAATGAGAACTGACCTAACTAGACAACTCCGTACAAGGCAAATGCAATGCCGATCATGACACTGGCAGCTGGCAGGAAAGGGTGAACAAGTAACTTCTAACAGATATGGAACTGAAGAATGTCAAGTGAAAGGAACCACACAGGGCATGTGGGAGAAAAGCAAATGACAGAATTTAATCAGGACACTAGTATCCAGATGGGCTTAACTGAAAAGGCATAAAAGAGCTACAGTATCTCAAAGCACTGACTACAAGCACAGAAGCAAACTCCAGAGTACTGAGAAATCTCCAAAATATTTTGAGATAAATACAAAAAATTCCTATATTTGGTTTATACACATTAAATAATCTTATTTCAACACTGTTTAACGAGTGTGGCTTTTTCCCTTTATTAAACCCACACAAGCAAAATATACAGTTTATCATCATCTCCAAATATACCACAAGTCCCCTGACAACGAAAATAACAGAACTTTCTAAAGCTGGATTTATCATGCAAGATTTTAAAAATAAATCAAGGTAGGAAATAAGCTCTGACCATAGCTAATTAAAGTAAATGCTTACCTGAACCCACATGGCCTGAATATTTGACAAGGCACTTCCCTGTCTCTATACTCCACAGCAATGCCGTGTGATCTGTAAGGTCAAAATCATTAAGTTATGACTTAGCCATCCGCAATTTTAGGCTTTTTAACAAATGAACAAGATATTCTGAGAATGATGTTGTATTACCCTAATATTACTTGCAGCTCTGATTCTACTTCTCTGTAAAATACAGTTGATCCAAGGACACATTTCCAGTACTGGACAGAGTGCGGTTCATCGAAGACCACTGATTTGGCGAATGAATGAACAATCAAGGTCTCACCTTCCTAGTACACTATGACACTGGGCTGCATTTATGCTTGGGATTTACACATAGAAGTCACTATACATTTTACTGAAAGTATTAAAACTCCCAGAGTACCATATACAAATTCAAATAGCACCCAAATCCAGTTATTAATTATCAGGTGCTAAGTATTCCTTTCATATTTTTCCTCTTACGGCAAAATTAAAATTTAAGTAGATCTGACAGAAAATCAGAATAAACAGCAGTATCCAAATGAAATTTCAGAAATTTCAAAAAGGATATTTTTAACCTTCCCTAAAACTTATGTACTTCACTACTATCAGAAAAACATCAAATATAATTTTTAAAAACATATTTGGATATGAATAATAAGAACTGAGCTAACCACAAACTATCCAAGGCTTAAAAGATATCCTCCCTCTGCTGCCTCTACTACCTAAATATGAACTCCTTAACCAAATTAAGTTAAATCCAAGCACTTCCTTCTGCAGACCTTCAAGCCCACTGTTTGGTGTAGTATCCTATCTACTGGGCTACAGAATTGGAAGACAGTATGCTTCAGTACATCTTCAAATGTTCCCATAACAAAGCCCAACACTTTGGTTCTAACGATTCCTCCATCGTATTTTTGCTTCCATGTATCACTCCATTACAGACAGCTGAATGTCAGTCACTTCAGCCAGTAACCAAACCACATGGTTCACTGAGCCAGCTGGCTCAGTGTCTGACTCACCAGCAGATGCGGTCCCCAGCACCACTGGCTGTGTCCTTGCAACACTGACATCCCAGATGCCATCCCTGTGGCCAATGTACTCCTTCACAAGCTGGCAGACGGCCCTTGATGTGGTCGTCTTAAAGCTAGAGACAATCTGAAATTCAGAAGGGAAGGAGCACTGTAAGCATTTACTGAAATAAATTTTTTCAAGTTAAAAAAGGTAAGACAGAGGAGGGCTATCTTGAAAATGCATTAATCCACTGAATAGAATATTTTAAACAATAAAGGAATACTAGTATGAGCAGAACAGAAAAACCTTGTACAGCAATACTAGGTTCATTCAGCTCAACATATGACAGAATAAGTCCTTACAGAGGCTTTGGAAGACTCTTCCTAAAGAAGTTCAACAGCAGTGAGGACATAATGTCTTATGAGGAGAGCATTTACATGTTTAAAGTCACTCTTCCACAAATCCAAATCATCAAGCAAAAGTTCCAACTTTGTTGAATGAACTATTAGCTAGCTAGTAAGCTAGACATGGAAGTCAAGAACAGCCCAAACCATTATTATGCATTGCTGTGATCACTGGGGGACTTTTTGATTGTTTCATTTTGGGTCACTGACACCAATCACATATAGCCCATGATGGGGAGGAACCAAAAGACGACACTTCTGACAGATGAGTAGGTTTGTTAAGAGTGTTTATTAGCACTTGGCTCTGAGTCAGGCGCTATGCTAGACGGAGGAAACAGAGCAGGGCAACACATGAGCTCCTTGCCAGCAAAAGCTCACAGTCTAATCACACAGACATGGAAACAGTACAAACAACATACACGCACAGTACACTGTTGTCTCATAGAGCATTATACACAACAAGCAGTTCTCTTACAAGCAAAAAATCAGCGAGAGAGAAAGAGACTAATTAAACATAATCATATTCTTTTAGTTTGGCTTTTAAATTGGTCTCAGATAAAAGAGGCTTTTTCGCTTTTAAGTAGATCAGTATAATGTAGATTATTCAGGATAATGAAACAAACAAAAATGTTTGCAGCATTATACAGCTTACTTTAAACAATGCTTCAGCAAAGCACTGGAAAAGGTGTCTAAACCCACTTTTACATCAACATTAAAACATAATTCAGAACCTACTATTACATCAATTCAGACATGTACATAAAATTTATTCTGAATACAGTGGAACTAAAACAAAATGCTTCATCAAAAGACTGACATTTTTACTTGTAATAAAAATAAATTCATTTCACTTGCTTTGGTTTAAATTTAACAAGTACTATAAAAGAATTTGTTCAATCTGAAACACATTATTATCGTCTTTCTGAAAGCTGTTCAATCCAGGAAAATTTTCCCTATACAATATGAAAAAGCGTTTCTACTTACTCTAAGTACATTTAGAGGGTAAACAGTATTACAATATTTTAAGAGGGAGTAAAGCTAAAATGCACAGGAAACTTTTCATATAAGATGCTATAATAAATTCACTTATCCATTTCGCCCAGCATTTCTAACACTGAAACAAATCAATGGAGCCCCATTCTTCACGCACCCCATTCGTACCGTGAAAGCAGAGGGGTTACTACCTTGAACTTTAGCTGTTTTGCTGGTGTTATTTTGGAAACAGAAAGCAACCAGATTACTGTACCATATCATTTCATGTGCTGCTTAAAAAATACCCTTTACACTCTGATCATCTGTTAACTTCAACTCTTTGTTCTCTTAGTCAGTTCTAAAATGCCCAACAAAACAGACCTGAACTACTTATACAAAATGGTCATGACAGGAAAGCAGCAAAATGATGACACATATCATCCCAAATCATTTCGGCAACTGAGATAAAAAACCTAAAACACATGAGAGAACTCAGAAATGGGGTTTGTTTGGGTTTTTTTAAAAACAATAAAACACTATCTTTCAAAAATAACTACAAAAACGTCAGAAAGTTTCTTTAAAGTAGTGTATAAGTTAGACTATCTTACTGCCCTCCCAAGAACACATTAGAAATAAATCAGAGAGCACTCAAACAGAAGGAAAATCCTTTGTGGAAAAACCTTAACACATTTTTGTGCTTCCACTGTCCCAACAAACATGCTAGTTGCCTCTCAGGGCTCTGAGTCAGAAGCAGGGAAAGCAATGAACTTGGACTGATGCACTTTCCTGTTGCATTCATGCCTACCTGTATTTACAAGAACCTATGCTGCAGTGCAAGTCAGAATATATTTTTACCCTATTATTTCTTCAATTTTCAGATGATGTCCTGTTTTTTCAATATTATTAAGATGCATATACACTGTGCAAAATGCTCCAAAAGTCACTAATAACATGCTTCTTAGCAAATTGAAATGAATTTCTAGTATCTAAAATAGTTGAGGCTTTAAGTAATTCTAAATAATCAAAGCAAAGTATATTATAGGTTTCCTTACCTTACTCCAAAATCTTATTTTTTATTGTTCATGGTAAAGGATAACTTTATATAATCATTTCTTCCCCTACTTCAGAAATAACCAGAAAGTTTTGAAATTCTAAGACCACATTCTGTACACATATAATTGTGAGCGTAATAGACAACATAATTCAGGATCTTTTAACAAGAAATTATGTGTGAAGACCATAATTTCACATTTCGTTAAAAAGAAAAAGTTTAAATCTAATTAAAAATGTCTAGTAAATACAAGCTACATCATGATATAATCAAACAGATCAAACGTAATCTAGCTTATTTGAAAAAAGTCAACAACAGGAAATGCCAGCAACATTTACATTTTTTAATAAAAAGAATTGCCAAGGATTTTCAAATGAGAAGAAATAGCAAAAAGACTGAATTTGCTGTATTAACTGCAGCTAATCTCATTTTAGATGACATGATAAATAATCTTAAACTCTAAAAAAAAATGGGAAATATAAAAAAATGATACAGCATACTCAATGCAAATTTTAACTATTCCCTTCACGTTTAGCAAAGGAACATACATTCATTAAAGTTAGGTACATAATCTGTCTTTCATATCTTTGAAATACTCCAAAATAGCGATGCATACAAAACGATCTCAAAATTTATCATTTGTAATAGTACTCTATTATAAACAGATTCTCAGATATAAATCCTTGACTCTTTAAGAAGAACAAAACAAGATACTTTCAAGAAACAGCAAAACACAACTGTCTCTATTAGCCTCTTCCTAACACTTGGAAATAGAAGATAATGAACTAAATGGAATTAAAATATAACTTTAACTTAGAAAACCATAATTGCATTGCTTGACATCTATTTATACGCTTTCTCCAATTTTGCAGCTTTTGTAACAAGCCAATTAACAAGAGAAAATATATATATTTCTAAAGACAGTATCTCGACTAGTGCATAAATGTATTGATAAAAAGAACTACTAGAACAAGCTACTGTCTGAGTATCTATATAATACAGCCACTTGACATGATTTTTTAATTGAATTTACCTAGACACCAGACATTTCTTTTTCTAGTATACATTTCTAATTGAAAAATATGCAGGTTAAAGTACACATCAGCACACCTTAAACACCACATGACTGGCTCAAGTGTCAGTGCCCTGCATACCTTGCTGGTAGAAGCCTTGTAAGTAGTCTTTAGTTTCTGAGAAAGCTGACTGGTACTGTGACTGGCTGCAGAGACAAAGAATCAACAATCAAACACATTCCTACAAAGAACCTGGGCATCACAAAGTGGGCCTTGCATCTTGGGGAGAAAGTGAAACCCAAAAGGCTTCCTTCAACTGTGCTAACCTGGCAACAGTGGCAGACCTGAGAATGAATGCACCTGCTCCCTCACTCCGTTTTTCCAGACCCACCCCTAAATTATGTCCTTCAGGTTCTGCTTAGAGCAAAGAGCAAATCAGTGTCCCTGATTAAATTCCAAATGGCCTTGATAATATGGAAGCAATACTTTCTGTGAACTTTACCTTTCGTTTTGAGTTGGCCCTTACTAAGTTCTGCTCCATCGATGGCTTGTCCTTCAGCTGCTAAGCGTTCATTCAGAGTATCAATTTCTCTTCGCACTAAAAAATATGTTTTTAGAAAAAGCATTTTTATGCTAAATGTACTTACCACTTCCAAATTGCACAAATAAAAAGGTTACATTCCAATGTTGTCTAAACCCACGAAAAATATTCTAACAGTCAATATCTCAATTTATATAAAGATTTCAAAAACCTCAAGGCATTCAGGATTTCATTACAAAAAAGACACACATAATCTTCCTGAGTACAGTGAAGCTCCTGCTACTGTGAGCTCCCACAGGCACCGGCATTTCAGTAGCTGTGCAAATTTCCTCTGTGCCTGGATCTGTGCACTTGGAATCTTTACTGACACTGTCTAAAATTCAAAGAAGCAAGCAGGTACTCCAAAAAGGTCATGAAAAAATGGAAATGAAAGTGTGACAAGGTGGTTAAGACACTGCTTAGGAATATCTGGGTTTTCGGCTGCATCTCCTCCAATCTTGGTCCAGCTTCCTCCTTATGTACATCAGGAAGCAACAGAGAGGAACCGCCATTGGGACAACCCTGATTGAGTTCTGAGCCCCTGTCCGGAGCCTACTGTTTGGGTATTTGCACAGTCCAACAGTAGATGGAATCTATTTGTTTGCCTTTCAAATAAAATGAAATGAAACACTAAAAAAGCTAACTTTATTTTGGTATAAGAAATTTTGAGGCGCTGGAATCATCATGTGGCAGGCTAAGCTGGAATCAGGAGCCACAACAGGGAGACATACATAGGCACTCGATGTAAAATGCAGTCGACTTAACTCCTAGACCAAACATTCACCCCAGTCTTATTTTAGCAAATGCTATTTTTTATAATAAAGTATTTTCTGGAACTGGTGCCATGGTATAGCAGCCTAAGCCTCTACTGGTGGCACCAGTTTCTGTCCCAGCTGCTCCACTTCCAATCCAACTCACTGCAGAGCCATCTGGGAAAGCAGCAGAAGATGCCCTAAATCCTTGGGCCCTGTGCCCACAAGGGAGACCTGGAAGACAGTCCTGGCTTAAATTCAGCTATTGTGGGGGCCCAGCACAGTAGCCTAGAGGCTAAAATCCTCGCATTGCCCACACTGGGATCCCATATGGATGCTGGTTCTAATCCCAGCAGCCCCGCTTGCCATTCAGCTCCCTGCTTGTGGCCTGGACAGCAGTCAAGGACGGCTGAAGGACTTGAGACCCTGCGTCTGCATGGGAGACTCAGAGTAGGCTCCTGGCTCCTGGCTTTGAATCGCCTCAGCTCCAGCTGTTGCTGCCACTTGGGGAGTGAATCATCGGATGGAAGATCTTCCTCTCTGTATATCTGTCTTTCCAATAAAAAAAAAAAAAGCCATTGGAGAAGAAAACCAGCTGATGGAAGCTCACTCGCTCTCTCTGTCTCTCCTTCCCTATAACTCCTCTGCCTTTCAAATAATAATTAATAAAACTTTTACAAATTTTTCCAAGTCCATGTATATTTTTTCATAATACACATTTTTCATGAACTTTGACAGTCCCTTGTACTTACAGTCTCACTGAGGACCCTGTACTTGAGGAGCAATGATACATAACTACCGACATATGGTACCACACAGTTACCAGGAAAGGGTTACATATAACAAGAATTAAAAATGTAAGAAAGTTCTGAAAAACAGAAATTACAGGATTACAGGAAAGGACAAGAAATATAAAAAAGTACAGAAGCTATAAAGAACAGAATGAACAAAAACAATGAGATGGGAAATGTGCGCTCTGTTGCATGTCAGGCCCTGCAGAGGGGGCCTGCAGCATCCACTCTGTGACCTAGCCTGTGGAGATGAGGAACACAGGCACTCAGCCAGGACACAGCTGCTCTAAAAGCACAGAGCTCCTGATGTAACACCCTGACACACCAACGACACCAGGAAGTCTCCCACGACTGGGAAAAGAAAACTGGGCTGGTGGAAGGTCTTAGTGCAAGAACAGAACAAGTTACGATGAGGAAAATGCTGACAGCGAAAGGTCCTAAACAACGTCCAATATGAGCAACCTGGATTTCATCTTATGGACAGAAAGGATCCACAAAACCCCTAAGTACTGGATGATAATGCCAACTCACTGCGTTCACAACCATATTCCCGTCATTTCTTGGCCAAGCTGCAACCATAAAACTGAAAACCGCTGGTCACTGAAAGCTGAACAGTAAGTATTCCAGTTGTAAAAACTCTGATACTTAAAAGGTACACAGTGCATGGTACCTAAGTTTTATTTTATAAAAAATTGAAATCACTTCTCCCATCATAAATTTTCATAGTAGACTTTTAAAAAAAGAAACACCAGTTATTAAATATTAAATTTTCCATCAGTAAGTTTAAATGACATAGGATTACATCATCTTCATTACCAAGGGAAAGGCGACCCTGCATCCTAAAATCACAACCAACAGGCTTTAGGAAATGGCCGTCCTTAGTCACCAGAGGGAGCACGGCTCTGCCAATACCTTGACTTTCTTTCCTCCAGGAAAATCAGACCAGATCTTTAGAACTTTAAGATAATACATGTCATTTTAAACTAAAAAATGTGTTACTGCAAATCAGAAAGCTGAAATGGAAATTTATGCTTACCCACAAACTTTACTGTCAAATTTTTGATAGTGAGTGAAAAATTATAAAACAAGATTACGATAGGAAATACTCACACTCTAAGTTCTCAATATAAAGGTTCTCAAATTCTCTTTCTATTTGACCAAAGAGTTCCAGAAGTGTACTGCGAACTGAGGAAGGCAGCTTTGAATCCTGTAGAAGACGAAGATTTTGTTTAGAAGGAATGAACGAATCAATGAATAAGAAACTAATATGAAATATCAAATATTTCCCAAATAAAGTATTTTTTGTCCTAACCTCTTACTTTGCATCATTACATATTTTATACCTTATACATAAAATGCTTGAAGAATTCAAAATTCCAGTTTCTACAGAGAAAAATATAAGCATGCTGCACAAGCGGCTACTAAGGATAATATGGGATTTAAGAACAAACACTTCCTTTAAAACAACATTAAATATCTTTTTGCATAACAGGATATATGTCTATTATGCTCAAAGACTTCCAAATTGGTAGAGAAGGAATACAGTTCCCAAAAATGAAATATAACAACCTTTAAAATCATTTTAAAGATTTATATATTTATGTATGCACATATTTGAAAAGCAGAATGAAAGAAAGACACAAAGAAAAATGTTCTATCCTCTATTTTATTCCCCAAGTGGCCACAACAACCCTAGCAAATTCCACGAGTCCAAAACTCCATCAGGTCAGTCTCCCATAGGAGTGGCAGATGCCCAAATACTTGGGGAATTTCCACTGCTTTCCCAGGCACATTGGCAAAGAGCTAGACTGAAAGCATAGCAGCCAGCTCTCAAAGGAACATCTCATAAGGGGTTTAGGTAACTCAGAGGCAGTTTAACCCACTTCAAGACAATGCTGATCCCCATAAATAACGTTTAAAATGTTATATACTGATAAAAGATTGCCTTCATAGAGTTCCGATGTTCCCACTGTACTTCGAGGAGAATAAACTGCACAATCCCAGTAACGCTATTTAATACCTAAGAGACCTTGTGAAAGGAGAAAAAAGAAAAATCTCAAGGTGGGCCCAGCAGATGAAAGATGAATCTATATCTGATATTAAGCTCATAAAATAAGTAAATCTTTAACAAAAAGAAAACCTATCTGTAAAAAACAAAACGTCTACTAGTTAGAGGAAACATTAAAAAGAGTTCCCAGTGGGGACAAGTTCTACACACCTCCAGCCCCTGCCTACCAAGTCAGGGAGGGCAACAGGCGGTGGCAGCAGCAGCAACAGCAGCAGCTCAGTTCAATGGGGAAGCAAGGTTTAACAAGGAATTTATATGCTAGACACCAGTCCATTGACAAAATATGTTCAGAGGCCTGGTGTGACAGTCCATTGACTAAATTCTCGCTTTGTGTCCCAGCTGCTCCACTTCCCATCCAGCGCCCTGCTTGTGGTCCGGGAAAGCAGTAGAGGACAGCCCAAAGCCTTGAGACCCTGCACCTGCATGGGAAACTAGGAAAAAGCTCCTTGCTCTCAACTTTGGATCAGCTCAACTCCAGCCACTTATAGCTACTTGAGGAGAGAACTGGTAGATAGAAGATCTTTCTCTATGTCTCTCCTTCTCTCTGTAAATCTGTTTTTCCAAGAAAAAAATAAATACTTAATATATAGGCAACTACTTGACATAGTCTACATTCAACTTGAAATCTCCTCAAGGACATGGCCTACCTATTTTATAATGCCCCTTACCTGAGGCATTTCATTTAAAAAGAAAAATTGTCAACAGATATTTCTAAAATAACGTTCCAATATTTAATTTCCATCAGTGAAATTTTCTAAGTGACTTTAAAGTTATATACAACACAAACATTTTGAAACTTGATTATATGCCATATATGGAGGAAAAAAGGAAAAGAAACAAGAGGTAGGCTTTTGGCACAGCCACGGAGCTCAACCTTGCTAAGCCCACATCGGAAAGCAGTGCAGCTGAGGGACAGCCACTGCTAGAAGCACCAGTGTCCTGTAACGTGCACCCTGGGAAGCAGCACATGATGGCTCACGCACGTGGGTTCCTAACAACCACATCAGAGACTCGGCCTGAGTGTTGTGGCTTCCAAGTGGCCGGGCTGCAGTTACCGAGGACATGTGGGAAATGACTCAGCAGCTAGAAGTTCTCTGACTGTGCACTTCTGTTTTCAAATACATTAAGTAAATCAATAAATATTTTTTAAAGATTTATTTTTATTGGAAAGTCAGATTTACAAAGGAAAGAAGAGAAAGATCTTCCATCCACTGGTTCATTCCCAAAGTGGCCGCAATGGCCAGAGTTGAGCTGATCCGAAGCCAGGAGCCAGGAACTTCCTCCAGGTCTCCAGGACCATGGAGTGCAGGGTCCCAAGGCTTTGGGCCATCCTCAACTGCTTTCCCAGGTCACAAAAAGGGAGCTGGATGGGAAGCAAGGCAGCCAGGACACAAACCAGTGACCACATGGGATCCCAGCTCAATGCAAGTTGAGGATTTGGCTGTTGAGCCATTGTACTGGGCCAAATAAACAATTTTCAAACATATTTATTAAGTTTCTTCTGAGAATAATTTCTGAAAACGTTAACATTTTAGCATGGAGTTCTATAATAATAGCAGACTTAACAAAATAAAGTTAAGTATGTGAAACCACAAGTTAAAACTACACATCTGGGCGGTGCACTGAGGTGCAGTGGATTAAGCCACCACTTGGGGGCACCCGAGTCCTGTATCAGAGTGTCAGTTTGAGTTGCAGGCCACTGCTTTCTCTAAGGCGTCGGAATGCTAATACAGCTGAAGTTGACCGCCACTGCTCCAGCGCCACGGCCACCTCCATGGCCACCTCCACGGCCACCTGAAGACCCAGGCGGTGTTTCACGCTCCTGGCCTGCACAACAGCCCTCGCTGCTACAGGCATCTGGGAACTGAACCTGCACACAGAACCTATCGATCTTTCAGGCAGATGAAAACATTTAAAAATGAATAAAACATGAATCTGACAGAAAAGATAATTCAACAACCCTTCACAATACCAGTGAAAAAATGATAACAAAAAGGACAACTTCAAACAACAAAAATTAAAATTAAACTATCACATCTTGTAAGTACAAGCCATAAACCTGTGCTGACCTAAGTATACTCATTAACCTTTCTTGCTCATCCAGGCCCTGTAATCTCTGCATACTCCATTCCCTCTCCACGGAACACCCTTCCTCACAAGCGCTGCCTCTACATGGAGGCCTTCTGAAATCCAAACAAGGCCAAATCCCCTCTTCCGTGTGTCAGCTCCTACAGACCTAAACCTGTGTTTCAGATCCTAATTACTCAGCAACAAACGCTTATTTACCTGGACTAAATCTAACTCAACAAATGCTATGGAAACACAGTTAAGGTACAATCTGGCAAATAAAAACAAAATAAAAAATCAAGAAACTAAATGTACAGTGAAGTGAGGACAAATAGAGCCTTACAAAACTATTTTTCACCCTTTCTAGCAGTGTCCCTTTTTTGTGTCATTCAATCTCATAGGTGCCAAAATTTAAGAAAAAAAAAAGCAAACTGAGGTCAGGAAGGCTTCAGTGATGCAGTACAACCTGAAAGAAACTGCATCTCACCACACCGTTGGACACACAGCTCAAACACTGTGGCACACACACACAAGCAGCTCCTCTGGCTCTGCTCAACACTGAGCCTGCGTGCTGAGATGCAGATGCATACTTTGTCTAGAACGGGACTCCCCTGCACTGTTTAATTCAAATCAAGACAACTGATAACCCTGTATTTTCAGATCATTCCACTTAAAGCTACCACGCCCAACCACTTACACCAAACATTATCACTCTCTTCTTTCTGCACCTTTCACTGGCCATTCACAGAACATGCTGGTAAATTCCACTCAAAATAACTAGACTTAATCAGCAAATGAACACTGCCAAGGGAATGTAGAAGGCACAAAGCTGAGGGGCATCAAAGGGGTCCAGAGGACAAAGCTGCCCAGCTTTACTGTGATTGCATTTACTCTGAAATGCAATCAATCCCACGGTACTACATCACAATAGAGGACAGGAACATAATTACCTCATGTGTGACGTAACTCTAGACCATAGCAATAAAGGAGGTCGTATACAATTTTCAAAGCTAAAAATCCAAGTGTAAAAATTTTTTGAACCTATTATTAACTGTTTGCCTGAACTAACCAATATGGTAGCCACATCTGACTACATAAATTTCTACATCAAGTAACCAAAAATTAAAAACTAAAAGTTCAAGTTCTGAGTTAAATCAGCTACAATTCAATTGCTCACCAGATACATGAAGCTGTAGATTTCATATCACATAGTGCTGATATGGGCTATTTCCATCATCACAGAAGTTTTAACACACAACTCTGGTTCCACTCTCTGAACTGCTGGCTAAATTATGTCCCTCAAACTTCAAATGTTGAAGCTCCAACATTCATCAACTCAGAACCCAACCCTATTGAGAGGTATGGTCTTCACAGAAACAACTAAGGTAAAAAACAACAATGTAACAGGGCCTGGAGTGATGGTGCAGTGGTTAAGGTCCTCGCCTTGCACCCCCGGGATCCCATATGGGCATCGGTTCTAATCCAGGCAGCCCCTCTTCCCTTCCAGCTCCCTGCCTGTGGCTCGGGAAAGCAGTCAAGGACGGCCCAAAGCTTTGGGACCCTGCACCCGTGTGGGAGACCCAGAAGAGGCTCCTGGCTTCAGATTGGCATAGCATCGGCCGTTGCGCTCACTTGGGGAGTGAATCATCGGACGGAAGATCTTCCTCTCTGTCTCTCCTCTCTGTATATCTGCCTTTCCAATAAAAATAAAATAAATCTTTAAAAAAAAATAATGTAACAACAGTAGGTACTAATGCCACATCACTGGAGTCCTTGTAAGAGACAGGGACAAGGGATGCCGAGGACAGACCATACAACAATATGGGAAAAGAAAAACACCTTTAACGGTCAAGAAAAAAACCAATCCTGTAAACAACTCATTTTGGACATCCAGAATGGTAAGAAAACAAGTTTCCACTATTGCAGTCACTGTGTTCACGGTTATTCTGTTGTTAAGAGCCCTGGCAAATTAATATACTAACATATCAAAGCTAATTTTATGATTTACTGGAGAAAAATCCTATCTGTACTGCACATGTACAGATGTTTTTCTCCCATTACCCCATGCACAATTATTTGTATGATGTTTACATCATGTTACATATCATTGGCAATCTAGGAACACTCTGAAGTACACAGGAGAGCACAGGCGTTTGGCACAGTGCTTAAGACACCTGCATGTGTGCTCGCAGGCCTGGGCTGCAGTCCTAGCTCTGCTTCTGACTCCAGCTTCCTGCTGATATGACCCGAGGAGTAGCAGGTGATGGCTCAAATACACGTATCCCTGACACTCAGGACATCTAGATTGAGTTCCGGCTCTTGGCTTTGACCTGACGCAGACCTGGAAGATGTCTGCCTCTGTGTGTGTGCCTTCCTTTCAAGTAAAGGTAAATCAATGATGTACACAGGAGGATGAGACAAGTTACAGACAGTACTGTGCCAAGGGATTTGAATACACTACAGATTTTGTTATGCCAGGGGGATCTTGGAAGCAATCCTTCATGAGTTTTCCTGTACAACTGTGTTAGTTTATTTACTCATCCATTCAAATCATAGCTACTGAATTCTCTATGGAGATATGTTATACGACACTAATTGTGGTGGACTCAGAGTGTACACGGGTACCCACTGCAGTTAAAACCTGGAAATCTCTACGCATAAGGTTATCCAACTAATTAAAAAGAAAAAAAAAAAAACCTCAACATTTACTTAAGCCAATTTTTCAAATTTAAGCCTTAAATCTAAGCCAAATTCAAGCCTAATTTATTGGCAGCATTAGGGCCAATAAAGTAGTTCTAACTGTGAAGGTAGGGCTACAAAGTTAAACACATTTACATATATACATTTAGTATATATTAGATAGATCTATATTTTATTTTGTTTTTGTTTTTGATAAACGCTGAGCACACTGGAGAGCGCGTGGCTGGACCAGCACAGGACACCACTCCAGCCACAGCTGCCGTCCCCCCCAGGAGATGCTGCTGCTGCCCCCAAAGCCCAAGGGGAGCCGCTTCCTGGACAGCAGCTTCTCCACGGCCAGCAGGTGCCCAGTGTGGGCCGCCTCCCACAGCTCCTGCTCCTTCCCCATCCCCAGAGTTGCCACCCCTGGACCTGGCACTCCAGGACCACCAGGGCTCATCTCCCAAACTTCACATCTCCAGGCAACATATCCCCTGCCCCCCTATAGTTTATTTTAATAACATACTTCTGTTTAGGCTTCACAAAGTCGTTTTTTTTTTTTTTTTTAGAAATAGTCTTTAAGGGTCCAGCGGCGTGGCCTAGCGGCTAAAGTCCTCGTCTTGAACGCCCGGGATCCCATATGAGCGCCGGTTCTAATCCCAGCAGCCCCACTTCCCATCCAGCTCCCTGTTTGTGGCCTGGGAAAGCAGTCGAGGACGGCCCAAAGCCTTGGGACCCTGCACCCGTGTGGGATACCTGGAAGAAGCTCCTGGCTCCTGCCTTCAGACTGGCTCAGCACCAGCCACTGCACTCACTTGGGGAGTGAACGATCATAGGAACCATAAGAACCCACTTGGGGAGTGAACCATCATATGGGAGATCTTCCTGTCTCTCCAACTCTCTATATATCTGCCTTTCCAATAAAAATAAATAAATCTTTCAAAAAAAAAAAAAGGTATAGCATTAACGTACTTGTCCTTCTAACATTTCTCTTGGCAGGCCTGTCCTTTCCTGTTCCGAGCTGTTAGTTCTTCGTATTGAAAGGCTGTGGGATTTGCGCTTCTGCTTTGCTTGGCGAGCAGTTGAACAACTCCCGCTTTCTGTGGGCATTACTTCCAGAAGGTTGAGTCCTTGTCACTCCTGCAATAAGCTAAACAACAGTAAGAAAAATAATTGTATTATACAGCAAACTGAAATTTTAAAAACAACAAGGAAATTATTGCTTTTCATTAAAATTTTCCTTACTATGATGAACATTTATAACTTGGCATATGGCAAAGCACAGTGTTTTCCAGTACACAGCATTGGGGCCTGTTCATTCCGTGGAAGTGGAAGAATAAATCTACAACAATATAAACGTGCTAATCCTTCCCCCACAGGGTCAGCATCCCATCTGGGCACCAGTTCTAGTCCTGGTTGTTCCATTTCCCATCCAGCTCCCTGCTTATGGCCTGGGAAAGCAGTGGAGGACGGCTCAAATCCCTGGACCCCTGCACCCACAGGGAGACCCGGAAGAGGCTCCAGGCTCCTAGCTTGGGACTGATTAGACTCCGGCTGTTTCAGGCCTGCCGGGATTAGAACCAGTGCCCACATGGGATCCAAGCGCATGCAATGGGAGGACTTTAGTCACTAACCTACCACACCAGGCCCAAAGGGGATAATTTTTTAAACCACATTTCATTAATGTTTTTAAAATCAAAAAGCAAGTAAAAGGCCCAGTACGATAGCCTAGCAGCTAAAGTCCTCACCTTGCATGTCCAGGATCCCATAATTCCGGCAGCTCCATTTCCCATCCAGCTCCCTGCTTGTGGCCTGGGAAAACAGTTGAGGACGGCCCAAAGACTTGGGACCCTGCACCCACATGGGAGACCCAGAAGAGCTCCTGGCTTCGGACTGGTTCAGCTCCAGTTGTTGCAACCACTTGGGGAGTGAATCATCGGATGGAAGATCTTCCTCTCTGTCTCTCCTCCTCTCTGTATATCTGACTTCTCAATAAAAAAAAATAAATATTTTAAAAAGAAAAAAAAACAAGCAAGTAAAAGTTTAAAACAAAAAACAACTTTCTAACTTCCCCCAGGTTCTGGGTACTTCGTCAGAGAAAACCAATTCTAATTGTGTGTTCTAAACGAGAGTTCCTAGAATAACACATTCTAAGTGTAATATAATCTAAAGCCAAATATTAACTTCAAATTTTCTAGGGGACACATTTTAAAAAGTTAAATTACTTTCAGTGATTTAATTCAATCCAATGTCTAAAATATTTTATTAGTCAATATAAAAGTTATGGGACATTTTACATTGTTTTAATGATTATGTATTCAAAATTCAGTATTTTAATTTCATCGATCACAAAATCAAACTGCCACAAATGACTTATTTAAGCCTCTAAATAAATATGATTCACCCATTGCGTTAGGATTTTCTAATCATTCATGCAACTTAATCATTCCTCTCTCAATAAATTTCCATATTAATGAGCAATGTTTTAATATACTAACACATTACATCTTCCCTCTCCAATTACAGATTTACCTGTATGAACATTACCTGCTGATTTTTACTATCACTTCTCTTCCTCCAAGTACAGTCCCATTATCAAGTCAGCGCATGCAAATGTGGAGAAGTGTCGCGTGCCTCCCTGAACACAGAATGTATTTCTCCCAAATGCGATGTGAAGGCAGATACAGGGCAGGCACAGCTATGATCACCAAGAACTCAATACGCAGATATTCTCTTGATTTAAACAGGAAAACTGGCCCAAACCCCAACATTACGAGGTTGGTTCTACTAAATAAATGTATTAACAGCATGGGAAAATACGCTGACCTTTACAATCATCATGGAGACCAAGTGGGAGTACCTAAATCTGACTTTATGCCTGCTTAGAAAGCCTGCCCCTAAAAAGGCGAGACCATGTTTCCAGTCCAGGGCGGATGCTGAAGGAACCCCTGAGGGTTACCGGTTTCCTTCCAGGCCTGACCATCACAGTGCCTCTGTACTTCGTTACCAAATGCTTTACTCACTATCTTAAGGTTAATAACATGATAAATAAAATTCCTTACTACTTGGCTGACTAGGCATCTGAACTCTAATTATAAATATCAACTGGTTCAGATTACTGTTAAAATTGAAACAGCAAAACTCCACTTATTTAGCCATAGAAAGTAAGTCCAATTATATGACTATATGAATGCCAAGTACCCACAGTTTAACTAGTTTTGTTTCCCTTTTATTAATAACTATTTAGAACTCTCAAATATAAATCATGTCAATAAAATGTTTTCTTTTTTTATGCCAAGCCTAACCCAAAATGTTTTCAGCAACCGGAGAAGCCAGGCCGATGGACGTTTACACACTGCTTTACAAGTGACATGACCACTCCTCCTATCAGAGTGGCAGCTGAGACTGCTGCCCAGCTTCCTGCCAGCGCCGACCCCACGAGACACGGTGCAGGCCCGAGGATCTGGGCCACCGACCACTGCCTGGCCAGCTGCACTGTGTTCCCCGCACCAGGCTCCAGACCCAGCGTTCAGGGAACGGACCAGCAGATGGGGCAACGTCGTGTTCCTCTCCCATTCTCTCTACTTCTCAATAAACAGGATTTTTTTTAAGTTTTAATTTATTCATAAAGTTTCTAGGAACTCTTCAGCAGACGGTTATGTCTTCAGTGTTAGTTATGAAGTCCCCGCCTTATTTCGATTAGCAGATCCACAGGGCGTTGCAAAGACAGCTCAGGGTTCTTGATTCTCCCTACACCTCTGTCTCACAGGATTACAGACCACCTCATTAATCTATTGTGCTAACCCAGTAAATACATACTAACACAGTGTGCATGGGGGTCTCCTTTTTACGTATTAAGTTCCTATAAAGATTACCATAATCAAGATACAAACATCCCATCACCTCGTACATCCCGCAGCAGTCATTCCCAAGGGCTCCGCAGCACAATTCTTCACTCCCGACAATCACTGACTGGTATAACATCTCTGAAATTTTTTCATTATGGAGACTGTTTATGAGCTCAAATGGCATGTTGTGGCTTTTTGGGATTTTTCTATTCAATTTCCATTCGGCTTCATGTTTGTGACCCAAACACAGTCCCCACAGTAGAAATGATTAACCATTCACCTATAGCAAAAAAAAAAAACTTTGGCTCCTTCCAGTTACTTTTTTGCTATTGCAAATAAAATTGCTATGAACAATAATTCACAAGATTTATGTAAACTAAAATTTCATATCTTACAGGTAAAGAACCCAGGAGTATGACTGTTGAGTCATACATAGGGTCTATGTTCATTTACATTTTTCTTTTTCTATGACCTGACAAACATTATTTTTTTTACCTTTTTTTATTATTATTATCATTTCATGATACGGTTCCAAAAGTGCTGGGATTTCCTTTACTTCCTCCCTAAATCACCAGCCCAAACAAACTGAGTTCCCCTTTATTATTACTACAGTGTAAGCAAGGATTTTTTTTTAAGTTATTGAAATATGTAATTCACACACAGCAAATCACTCATTTAAAATGTAATGTTTGGGCACAGTGTGGTAACCTAGCAACTAAAGTCCTCGCCTTGTACGTACTGGGATCCCTTATGGACACCGGTTCTAATCCCAGCAGCCCCACTTCCCATCTAGCTCCCTGCTTGTGGCCTGGGAAAGCAGTCAAGGATGGCCCAAAGCCTTGGGACCGTGCAGCTGCGTGGGAGTCTCCTGGCAACTGGCTTTGGATCAGCTCATCTCCAGCTGCTGCGGCCACTTGGGGAGTGACTTTGCAATAAAAATAAATCTTTAAAAAGCTGTAAGTTTAAGAAAAGTGCATCCATGAAACAGAACCCACTTGTTTACCTGGGGAATTCTTTTTTTTTTTTTCTTCTTTTCATTATTCTTGTGAGTTAATTCAAAATACTTTGTAATTTTGATCTATTTTTCAGTGGCCATTCTAATTATTTTATTATACATTCATGAATTCTCATAGCCTGTTGATTACTAACATTTTATCCAGTCTTAAACAGTGAAGAACATAACATCCTTTATGTCCTTCTGTCCTTCCGCATTTGTAACATTTTTTTTTAAGATTTACTTTATTTTTATTGGAAAGTCATATATACAGAGAGGAAGAGACAGAAAAGGAAGATCTTCCATCCAATGACTCTCTTTTTATGACGGCCATATAAAATCTTTGTTGGCCACAACAGTTAGAGCTGCGCCAATCTGAAGCCAGGAGCCTCCTGCAGATCTCCCACATGGATGCAGGGTCCCAAGGCTTTGGGCAGTCCTCGACTGCTTTCCCAGGCCACAAGCAGGGAGCTGGATGGGAAGTGGCGCAGCCTTACATGAACTGGCATCCATACAGGATCCCAGCGTGCATTCAAGTCGAGGACTTAAGGTGTTACACTACCGCACCAGGCCCAACAATCACTTTCAATATTCCCTCTACACTCAGAAACACAGACAATCATGCTTCAACTTTCAAACACAATCTAGAAAAAGAATGCCCACTAAACTTATCAATATTTTACTCTTCCATTGTTCCTCCCATGCTTTTATCATTTTGTTTCAGCAACTTCCTGCACCTGTTGCTTTAGAGTGTATCTGCCAAGAACACTCAGGATGTAGAGTACTATTAGTTGATGGTTCTTCTCCCTCAACATCTGAAAAATGCTGTGTCACTTCCTTCTGGCCTCTACAGCTTTTTAAAGATTTTTTTTTTTCATTGCAAAGTCAGATACACAGAGAAGAGAGACAGAGAGGAATATCTTCTGTCTGTTGATTCGCTCCCCTAGTGACCACAACAGCTGGAGCTGCACTGAACAAAAGTCAGGAGCCAGGAACCTCCTCTAGGCTTCCCATGCGGGTGCAGGGTCCCATGGCTTTGGGCTGTCTACTCTTCCAGGCCACAAGAAGGGAGCTGGACAGGAAGCAGGGCTGCTGGGATTAGAACCAGCTCTTACATGGAATCCCGGCACGTTCAAGGTAAGGACTTTTAGCCACTAGGCCAACTCGCTGGGTCCACCAACACTCTTTCAAAATTAGTTCAGTGTCTTTTTCCTTCTAATCGCTTTTTTTTTTTTGCTCTTCTTTGTCACAATTTATTTCTCAGGACTTTCTCTAATTTTACTTTGTTTCTGCATTCATATCCTTCATACTTCTCCCCAGCAGTCTGTATTAGTACTATTACTATTTCCTTTTACACCACATCTTTTATAGTAAGTTTTTGGGGCTCAAGAACCGCATCTTAAGGCTGCAGGCACTACTGAACTCATATCATCTCATGTCATTATTACCATACAACATCTTCAAATGTTTGGTGAGATTTGCAGTTTGGTTTGGAAAGACAGGCCAGGAAGCTGCAGGTGTTTGTACGCGCGATCTTGCTGCATACAGGAGTTGCCACAGAGTACACACTGATGGATGCTGAAGCAAAACCAGTCACTGGGCAGTTGTAGCTATGACTGATGAACGATTAGTACCGCTGCTGCCAAGAGGAACAGCAAGGCTTGAATGGCTCAATAAAGTCACCAATCCTTACAACACCCCTAGGAAGCGAAGTTCCAGATCCAAGTAACAGCCTCCACAGACTTCACACAGCACTCCAGTAAGCTGATTATATGAAGGCACGTCGAAAAGTCCATGGAAAATGAAATTAAAGGGAAGTTTATTTTGGTATTAAAAAAATTTGCTGGGCCCAGCGCGATGGTGTAGTGGTTAAAGTCCTCGCCTTGTACACACTGGTATCCCATATGTGTGCCGGTTCTAGTCCCGGTGGCCCCGCTTCCTATTCAGCTCCCTGTCTGTGGCCTGAGAAAGCAGTCAAGGACAGCCCAAAGACTTGGGACCCTGCACCCACATGGGAGACCCAGAAGAGCTCCTGGCTCCTGGCTTCAGATTGGCTTGGCTCTAGCCGTTGCAGCTGCTTCGAGAGTGAACTATCATATGGAAGATCTTCCTCTCTGTCTCTCCTCCTCTCTGTATATCCGCCTTTCTAATAAAAATAAATAAATCTTTTTAAAAATATATGCTGAGATCCTCAAAGAACATACAGAAAACGTCTTATTTAAAAGCTTTGCATGAATTTTTATTTTTTTGCAGCAAAATAAATATATTTTTTAAATTTTCAAAGCATCCTCATAGAATTGTTATCTCAATCCAAATATGTGGACTGGACACTAAGACAACAGTTGATTCAACGGAACCCATTAGCAGGCTGCCTGGGCTCAACTCCCACCTCCACTCCCACTTACAGCTCCCTGATAACTCACGCACTGTGACAGCAAACAAGCCACATACCAAGTACATAACGGGCCCCACATGGAGTCTCAGCCTATCCCAGGCCAGGGTGTTGTGAAAATTTGGGGAGTAAACCAGTGACTAGAGAATCTGCCACAAATGCTTCCAACCTCTGAACCGGTCAGGTTGAAGGCAAGAGTCTAGAATTCCCACACTAGTCACAGCCTCTAACCTGTTGCTGCCCTATGGAACACATCAGCAGGCAGCTGGATGAGAAGTTAGGCTCAAATCCAGGCATTCCAATGGGGCTGGCAGGCATCTCAAGCAACACCTGAGCTGTTGCCCCACAAACCCTGCTCCTCCTACGTGCTTGGTGCAGCCGGGGCCCTGGACAGCATGCACTTCAAGAATGTTTAACAAAATAACGAAACCCAGAAACATTCTTTGTCGCAGCAAGTTCCACCTTTGCAAACGCTGTTACATAAATACCAAATACTTAGGTTTCTGCTCTGTGTTATTTTCCATACTAACTTCATTGAAACAAGGTAAGTTACCAGATTCTTTCACATGAATGTGATTCAAGAAAGGCAAGTAATCAAAGTGCTTTTTAAAAGTCATCAAAGTCACTTTCAAAAGAAACGCTTTCATTTGAAATAATAAACATAAACCCTGCAAAGAAACAATGAGATTTTACTTTTTTTAATGAAGCAAAAATGCTTGCTAACATGGTAGATCGTACACAGAACAATTAAGGATATAACTTCCGTGTGCCTTTAAAAAAATATGTGACTGAACTGTCTAGAGTTTGGCGAGTATTTCACTAACACTGTATTCTGACGCAATGTTAAGTGAATTCCTGGCAATCTGAGACACCAACCACAGACTTTCAATCCAGCAGCAAAGGAGAGAAAGGTCTCCAGAGGCAATGTCAAAAATCTATCAACAACATTAACCCGCTCACAGTACTGTGCCAGTGAAATGAAAGCAAGAACACATGTTCATCAATTTTGTGA